CCATCCATCATCTACAGTCCAATAACACCGTTCTGTTGAACTTGTAGGGTAACTAACTAATGAGGATAGGTGCAATAGATAGGGGATGCAATGGAAAGGGGAAATGCTACGGGTACGGATCCTATTCGAAATGATTTGAAACTTAAATCGTTTTAGCGAATTATAGACTCTTTGACTGTGTGTTAAACAAAATATTATGGTAAATAGGCATAACTTAATAGTTCATAGCTTCTAGAATTCGGGCCAATATTCAATTACACAAGTCCTCTGAAACCGGTGTTAGGACTGCATCATACTTGGCTCCTTGTCCCTCTCCAACGATACATGGCCAGTCTCCAAATGTACAGTAAATTGTCATACTACTTACATTTTGCGACCCCTACCACAATCTTTACCATTTTTAGCAACCAGTACCTAAATTGATGAATTAAAGTTTGCAAACACAAGCACATTATTTGGAATTGTATTACTAAGCATGGGGTAGGTACTGAAATACATGTATGTATAAAAATACACGGAAAAATTGCTGGAGTTCTGTCTAATCTGATGACTAAAGGAAGGCTGAGGGGTATCAGGTTTAAAATGAGAGCAGTTATTTTCTCAAGCATTGCATGATCGTAATCGCGGACCCATGGTGCCTCCAGGTTACATTCACCGGGTACAGACAACAACTGTTTCCAGAAACTTTCATTGGCATCCATGGGAGGTGCTTTATCATGCTCACCATCACCCTTTGTTGCTTTCATTATTTCTAAAGGGTTTATTTGTTTTTTTTTTAAATATGCTCTTCTTTTCCCATATTTTCAGTCCAAACCTTTAATTTTGCCTTCAGGGATTGGCAATTTGGAGAAGTACCTTTTCTTTCCTTGTATTATATTGTAATTTTCTCCAAATTGATTGATGTCTTTTAGACATTGGGTTCCCAGACCATCATATTTTACGGCACAGCTCTATCACGGACATGTTTCTCCTAGTTTCATTAAGTTTTACAATGAACCTGTCTTTTGATATTATCATCACATGTTTTTTCTTTGAAAACAGTGTGAGAATAGAAACAACAATTAACTTCATTCCACAGCATGTGGAACAAAATATTAACAGGATTTTCAGAGATATTCGCAACTGGTGGAGAAATTTCGGGGCCGATTGGCTCTATGCCAGAAGAGTTTGTTTCGGAAAGACGAAAGAGGTTCGTGAACGCGGACGTCCAATTCGAAGTTTTTGGTTTCCTGCCACTTGGGCATTCTGCTCTTGCAAAGGTTCCCGACGGGCTCCAGTTGTGGCTTCAACTGGCTCACGGCGCATGTGGATTTTAAGGCGTTGGTCTCGGAGATCTTACTCCGTCAGGTCGCTTTTGCACACTTAAGTAGTGCGTTTTGGAGATGGTTGGACCAAGATATTTACTCAAGTCTTTAATAAGTTGCTGGTCCACTCAACCTGAGATGTACTCGCAAGGGCAAGTGCTGACTTCAGAATCTATTCCAATCAGAAGGGGAATATTCCAGGGGGACTCCTTTAGTCCTTTTCTTTTTTGTTTGTCTTTACATCCTTTGAATTTTCTGCTCAATAAAGAGGAGGGTTACCATCCCGGACCTCCTCATCACAGATCCCCAACACCGCTTTCTAACCCCCTTTACATGGGTGACATCGAACTAGTTGCCTAAAGGAGACGCCAATTTGAAAGAGCAGGTTCTCCTTGTCGAGTCCTTTCTAAATGATATTGGCATGACATTTGGACTCGACAAATGTAATACTCTTCATTTGAAACGTGGCAAGGTAATTAATGATGAATAATTATTGAGGTATTGAGCACTTTGTGGAAGATCAGGCCTACACCTACCTTGGAATGCAAGTTCGAGACATGTATAAATCTCGCTTAATGAAAATCTCAGAGCTAAATGCTCGAAAGAAGGCCAAAGTCATTTACTATTCTTTTGGAGTAGTTGATTGGACAAAACAAGATATCCAGTGTCTTGACCGCCTGACCAGAAGGATCATGGCTGATAACAGAGCCCACAACCCTCGTTCCTCTCGTTCACATATGCCAATCAATTCGGGACGTCGGTGTTTGATTAATGTGGAGACTCTTCATGATAGAATTCTATTGTGTACATGTACTTTTGCACATATTTATATTTATCGGATGTTCCTCTAGTGACGCATGTAAAGGCTCATGATGAAAGCAAGGAATGCCACAGCTTTTTTAAGCGTGCCAAGGTTGTTGGACATAATCTCAAATTTGAGGCTGATGGCGATGTACTGCTGGACAATACAGTGATGGGAGTAAACCAGGTGAAGTCCTTCACCAAATCCGTCCAGAGTCGGATATTTGTGGAGAAGCTTTTATGATAAACCATTGCAGTGTGTGGAACAGAATATCAATTCAACGACTCCTTTGCCTAGGTGAAGTCGACTGGTCTTAAATGTGAAACTGAGGGCTTTCGTTTAGCTGCCCAGGACCAGTCACTTCCCACTCGCTAATGGCTAAAATGTGAAATTAATGATATGGGTAAAATTGGAATTGACTTGGATTTTTTCCGCAGTATAATTCACACTTTAATCCTTGTCACAAGATTATCATTTCACATGTTCACTTTTGTCACGTGCACAGTCACAATGACCCAATGTGCTAAACTTCTTTAGTTTAGAGAAAGATCGGCGAAAATCTTCAATTGTAAACAAAACAAAGCAAGTAGGGGTCGTCTCAAAAGTTAAACCAGGAGGAAAACAAAATCTCGACAACCTTGAAAAGGAAGTCATACCTCGAATGGTTTTCAAGCTCTATGACCAGAAAATACCAGCAACACATCGTTGATTCAGGCAGAATAGGCAACTCCTTCAACATTTCTAAAACAACACTTGTCATTGCTCTTCACGAAATGGGGTTCAGATACAAAGGTCGGGGGGATGACAGGGGCGCATTCAGGGGAAAATATTCTATACTCACTATGAGATCTTGTTATCTCCGCAGTATTGGGGAGTATTGCTCTCTGGGGTTCCAGGTCGTCCACCTGGATGAGACATTAGTAAATAAGAAAAACATTCCACTGACTACATGTTGTTGTCCACGGGCGTCTCCAGCAGAGCGCCCACAGTCCCATCTGGTAAGGGGAGAAGACTCATGGTACTCCATGCCAGTACGCGTGAACTGGGGGCCATTGATGGATGTGTGCTTGTGTTTGAAGCCAAGTCTACGACTGGTGATTATCACCAGGAAATGAATGGTGAGGTGTTTCCTGGACTGGATGGAACATCAACTCCCACCTTGTCTGGATAAACCGAGCCTCATTGTAATGAACAACGCCAGCTTAGCCCTACATCAAGGTCATGTTGTCCTGAGAACGCCGGTCCTCCGTTGTGAACTCAACCCCATTGAGTTGATCTGGGCCAATTGCAAGGGGTTTGTGGCTAGGCATAACACGTCTTTCAAACTCTCTGACGTGAAGGAGCTGGCTCATGCTTCGTACGGGAGGATAACTCCAGAGGTTTGGCTGAAAGCTGAGGATTACGTCATTGCCATTGAGAGAGAGTACCGACGTCGTGACGGCACTGATATTGGTCATGTTCAACCAATCGTCATCTCTCTGGCCGACTCCGAATCAGAATCCAGTGGCTCCGACATTGATGAAACCTGATTCAGCCTCATTTAGTGATGAATCGTACTTGAATCATCATGCTATATTCACTTGCTCCACACCTTCAAATAATTGAAACATATTATAAGACAACGAAGCCTCCCGTGATGTGTTTTACGTTCAAATGGTATCACCAAAGTATATAAGATACTTTAAATTTCTATGACAATCTATCGATTCACATTTTACTTCATATGTTTCCTAAATTGCGTTGTGACATCTTTATTCGCATTGAGGTTATTGTCCAGACGGACGGACGGGCGGACATCACTTCTCACTCCTGAAGCCACCCTCCACTTTGTGGCGGAAATAATCAGACACATATACGGGAATGTATGCCAAATACACATGAAAATACTCAATATTACATTGAAATAGTTGGGCGATGGGATAGCCTAGTGGTTAAAGCATTCGCCCGTCACGCCGAAAATCCGGGTTCGATTCCCCACATGGGTACAATGTGTGAAGCCCCTATCTGGTGTCCCCGCCGTGATATTGCTGAAATATTGCTAAAAGCGGCGTAAATCAACAGTCACATTGAAATAGCAGAATATTTACAAGTACGTTTTTCGTAAGATCATAATAATATTAAGTCCGTTAGATGTCTCAATATAAACGAGTTACATTTCTTTCAGTTAGAAATTAATATATTTTTGTTTTCAACGGTTTTTCTTTTACTAATAGATTTAATACAAGCTATTTTGTTGATATAAACTTCAATTATTGATGTCAGCCATGCAATTAATTATACATGTTTTCTGATCTAAATTATTTCAAATGTAAATTTCAAATACATGTTATCGCCAAGAAATGAAAATTGAAGACCACTGAAACCCAAACCAACAATTAAAGGAACGATTTGAGACGAGCCTTAAATGACAATGCACGTGCAAGTGAATCTTCCAATCTCAACAGTGCGGCATGCAGTTGTTGTCATTCATCTCTGATTGTGACGTCAGTTATAATCTGTTTATTAAAATCAGCTAAACATGCAAATTTAATACTTATTTACCTGTAAAACAACCTTTTCGAAGATGGTGGGATAAAGATAATAAAAGAAATCATATTTGTTTGAATTGCGCATTTCCATTAAGAGATAAAAAAAATGAAAGCCAAAAACCATTTTATTTCTATTTCCGTGAGTACTTTAGAAGCTGCAGTTGTGTGTAGTGAAATCTATTTGGGTCAGTTCAAGCTTCTACAGGAAATTCATGCAGTTCTCTCTCACTCACACACACACACACACACACACACACACACACACACACACACACACACACACACACACACACACACACACACACACATCTCTTGCAGTCTCTCTCTCACACACACACACACACACATAAATAAATAATGAAACAGTTGGGGATCTGAATATTTTATTGATCTTATTCGATGAGTTTCAACAGATATGTTTTCCTGTGTCATCTGTGGATTTCCTGGTCGGTCCCTTGTGAAAGCTGGGAACACCTTCAGATTTCATGGGTATTTCCTTCTACAGACAGATGCGTTATCCGAATCTAGCATCGTCCCGGTAATTGCTCCAGGGCAGTGGCCATCAGGCGACCCAAGAGAATGGAGTCGTCTGTTGAGCAATCGGGCGTCTCCGCCACACGTTCTCTGACGCAAGTAGATAAACTAATAAAGAGACAAGTTTGTTAGCAAATTTCCAGATGATATGATCTCTCGGTAACTGAACATATACCAAGGGTGCTATAACCATCGGTCTATGAAGAATTAACCAAGCTAAAGACTCTATCATAGCACCCTATCAGCTTGTATTTACAACTTAACCCTTCCTGTTCGTTGGCTTCATCACATGTGCTATTTGCTGTAACAGTTTTTCTTAGTCCCCACTTGGCCTCACCCAGTTATGTGCCACTTATTATTCAATAGCATTGTGTTGTTCATGTTAATCTGCTGTATATAAATACATCCATTAGTCACTTTTACCGTGATAACGGTGTAAGAATCTACACCGAAACATCGCTCTGTGCAAAAAACAAGAAGTTGTCATCCATAAAGTTGTATGTTTCATTACTTCTAGAAATGATTGTAACTATGAGTGCTATGAAACTCTATTATATACTCAAGTCTAGAAAAGACTAATTACGTATACACAAAGAACTTTATTAAGCACCCCCTGTATTTTTGCAATAATAGGTTTTCAACACGTACATAAAACGTCTCGTGGTGACCACGATTTTTTCTGGCCCGTATGATCCTTTGACTCATTAAAAAAAGACAAAATGATTGGAATCCATGTTGAATTTATGATAACGATTGCTCACTTTTTAAAAAACACTGATTTTCATACAAAACCCAGTTGAGTTGAGTTGAGTTGGGTTTTACGTCACATCGTCATTATTCCAGCCATATAGTGACGAGATCAAGTCAGAATTCATACACGTTTTAAATAAGTCCAAAAAAGAGTTGGCCACAGTCGGTTTACTCATGACTATTTGCTCAAAACGAATGGCGATGGAACTCTTGCGATGAAGTGTTCACCAGCAAGCATATACTGCTTGACTGTGGGGACTTTTCCACTGGAAGGGATTCACATTATGAAGCGATAAATCTGAAAGATCTGTTTTACCGCGACACCGGACATCTCATTGTTAGCCACCTGAGGGAAGTCGGCCTGTACCATAAATTGTAACTATATTGCAATGTGAATGACGGATTGCTTGTTTTTGAATTTAGTGCTACGACACTTTCTGTTTCTAAATAATAATGTAACGAATATATATGTTTTAAAAAGCAAAGTACAAGTATGGCCCTGGAATGTTTAATGTTGTATCTATTGGTGAATGTGAACATTCAAAATGTCATTTTGCGTGTCTTACACGATTCAAGGTTAATAACAAGTGAATGAGTGAGTTTAGTTTTATGCCGCTTTTAGCAATATTCCAGCAATATCACGGCGGGGGGACACCACAAACGGGCTTCACACATTGTACCCATGTGGGGAATCGAACTCGGGTCTTTAGCGTGGCGAGCGAACGCTTTAACCGCTAGGCTACCCCACCGCCCCAATAACGAGAGTAACCTCCATGTGACTTTATGAACCCCAGCACTCTCCTCCGCATACGCCATGTTAGCCTCCTAATCATCTGATGGTCCAGTCTACGCAACTCCTCGTGTACAGCAGCTTCCAATTGGGTCAGGTTTGTACAAGAGGATCCCTTTGTTGCACACAACGACCAAACATGTCCCAGATATGCTCCAAAGGGTTAAGATCGGGGCTCATTCAATCGTGAGATATGTCAGGGGGTGCTTAACTAAGTTCTTTGTGTATTATATTGATTAGGTGGCTGTCTAATAAACTCATTGTTTATTTACTCAGGTCTTTGTGTGTGGATTGGTAGCGGTACCCCTTGTCAAGCGAGCTTATTCCCTAATATACTCGGGTTTCAATAATACTATGAGATATTATAAGCTACTTGCCACATATCATCCGGATAATTCCGGCACATTGATAACGACGACTGAAGCATCGAGTTGTTTAAGCACTTTTCTCCCGCTACAAATGCTGAAACAGATATGAAGGAAGATTGGTCGAACACATTTACAGACGAAATGTTAATCATCAACATAATCAATATAATAACCACAATAATAACCGATGAGAATATATGTGGACGATATCATCTGTAGAAATCCCTTCATAATCAAACTCAAAGCAACCGTCCCTAGATCACATTCGGTTTTTAAAATTCTTCATATTTTTGCGATTGCAACAACGATGTGATTGTAATTATAACCAATCACTATCCCAGTAGTAAATATTGCTAGCGACTTGTCACTTCCCATTACTCCAAAGAGAGAAGAGTTAACATAACTGTTGCGAACACAATTTCACATGGCACTCATTTAAAGTGATTTCCACAACCACTGCTACATTATCTCCCCTGACACCCACTTAAAATAGAGCTACATAACCATTGGTTTATGATATCCACTGACACCCACTTCAATAGATCTACAAAACCATTGGTTTATGATAACCTATGGCACCAACTTAAAAAGAGCTACATAACCATTGTTTTATGATGTCATATGGCACCAACTATAAAAGAGCTACATAACCATTGGTTTATGATCTTCTCCGAAACCAATTAAAAAGAGCTACATAACAATTGGTTTATGATATCCACTGACACCCACTTCAATAGATCTACAAAACCATTGGTTTATGATAACCTATGGTACCAACTTAAAAAGAGCTACATAACCATTGTTCATGATGTCATATGGCACCAACTATAAAAGAGCTACATAACCATTGAGCTCCGAAACCAATTAAAAAGAGCTACATAACATTTGGTTTATGATATCCTATGACACCCACTTAGAAAGAGCAACATAACTCTTGATTTATGATTTATCCTATGACACCCACTTTAGATTAACGACAGAACCATTGGCATATGATCTCTTATGACACCCAAGTAAAGAGGTTTACAAAAAACAATCTCCAATGGCAGTTGCGTAAAGAAAATGTATAGAACCACACAATCTCCCATTACACCAACGTGAAAAGAATCTAGTTATCCAGCGTATACACAATGTCCCTGTTCATAGCATCATGGGTATCTTGTTTGTTAAATAGATATTCGTAATATCTTTATAAGTTTTATAATGTTTATCTAATTTCATGCAGCATACCTTGACTGTTCTGGCAAATGAAATTCCACTGACTGTAAAAGAGTCTCAGGGTCATGTATGATTCCATCTCATTACACTGTCTGGTAACATCAGTACAGTTCCGGAATCCCTCCAGGATCCTGGACCTTACAGAAACAATAACGATGACACGAGTGAGTGAACGGGCGGGCGGTTGAATGGGTGAGTGAGTGGTATTTACCGGTTAGGTTAGCGAGTGAAAGATGCGCAGATAAGTAAGCGAGTAAAAGATTACATAAGCCCGTTTAACGCCGAAAGTGACACATTTACCTAATACTATACATTACCCCATTTAACATGAAAGGTATTCACATTTACCTATATGTGACAGGATGAAATGTTTGTATATATTTAGTGTTTTATTCGTTAGTTTTAACTGAATTAAATATTCAGTTTAGTGTATTTTAAACATTATATACTTCACTCTTCAGCTTCTCTTAACCCCTCTCTCAGCTTACTGCATGAGTTTTCTGCCTCAGCCACAGTCACCTAGAGCACTGCCACACAATAGCCTGCCCAAGCGCGCCACTTACTGTCCCTTTGTCATAAACCTTGTTAGTTTACTGTCCCCTGTTTTAAGGTTTGAAGTTTATTATCAGTTAAGAACGTTTCAACTGGTCACAAGGCATTTGTGGATTTTAAAGCTCACACGTTTTGACTTATTTCGACATTTATAGGAGCTCTTGAGATCATTTCTGAAGGTTAGTCTATTTCCATACTTTTTGTAGTTTGTACATACTCATTGGATGTATACGCATATTGTGTTTATGCGTTGATAATTTGGCTGCTTTGTCATATTGTAAATATTGAGAAAGTTTGTGATAACTAGTTGTGTTGCAGAATGTAATGCATTATAAGTCTAATTAATTACAAACGGTAAATAATTCAATAATTCAGTAAGCTATTTATCAGTGTTAAACTTAATCTTTAAGTACTATACAGCTGTCGTATGGATGTGTAAATGTATGAATGTATGAATGTGTAAATGTATGAATGTATAATGTGTGAATGTAAGAATGAAGCAGGGATTTGCCATTATATATATTTTAAATGTTTCTCATTAATCAACAATAACTAAATAACTAAACGTATTTGTTGTATTGTTATTGCTGTCATTTGATTAGTCTGCACAGTGTGTATATATGTTTCATTTATTCGTGAAGATGAAGGTGTATTGCTCGTGAAGCTGTCGGTGTGTACTGACTATACCCAGGTCCACACACTTGGTGGGTTTATTATATTTTATATATGCATTGTGTAATGTTGTTGTCAGTACACACCGACAGCTTCACGAGCAATACACCTACATCTGCACGAATAAATGAAACATATATACACACTGTGCAGACTAATCAAATGACAGCAATAACAATACAACATTACATGATAAGAAATGCTAATTTCCCTATATGATATGATATGTATATGCCTATCTATGTATGAATTAAAGTATAAATGGAATGTGTCATCAATGAAATATTGAGGCAATGTATATGGAATAAATTAGCAATAATGATATTTTGTAAATGGTTATATTTAAAGATATTGATGATTGATATTATCTATCAGCATATATTTATGTTTGTCTAAAGATTGTTTTAATTGTTTCAGGGTTTTTTACATGGACTATCAGAAATAAAGGGCCATAATGCGAACACCACCATGTCTGTTCTAATGATTGAAACAGTTCCGGTTTCATATACATTACCCAATTTAACATGAAAGGTATTCACATTTACCTTTACATTACCCCATTTAACATGAAAGGTATTCACATTTACCTTTACATTACCCCATTTAACATGAAAGGTTTTCACATTTACTTGTACATTACCCCATTTAACATGAAAGGTATTCACATTTACCTGTACATTACCCCATTTAACATGAAAGGTATTCACATTTACCTTTACATTACCCCATTTAACATGAAAGGTATTCACATTTACCTATATGTGACAGGATGAAATGTTTGTATATATTTAGTGTTTTTATTCGTTAGTTTTAACTGAATTAAATATTCAGTTTAGTGTATTTTAAACATTATATACTTCACTCTTCAGCTTCTCTTAACCCCTCTCTCAGCTTACGACATGAGTTTTCTGCCTCAGCCACAGTCACCTAGAGCACTGCCCAAGCGCGCCACTTACTGTCCCTTTGTCATAAACCTTGTTAGCTTTACTGTCCCCTGTTTTAAGGTTTGAAGTTTATTATCAGTTAAGAACGTTTCAACTGGTCACAAGGCATTTGTGGATTTTAAAGCTCACACGTTTTGACTTATTTGGTCATTTATAGGAGCTCTTGAGATCATTTCTGAAGGTTAGACTATTTCCATACTTTTTGTAGTTTGTACATACTCTTTGGATGTATACGCATATTGTGTTTATGCGTTGATAATTTGGCTGCTTTGTCATATTGTAAATATTGAGAAAGTTTGTGATAACTAGTTGTGTTGCAGAATGTAATGCATTATAAGTCTAATTATTTACAAACGGTAAATAATTCAATAATTCAGTAAGCTATTTATCAGTGTTAAACTTAATCTTTAAGTACTATACAGCTGTCGTATGGATGTGTAAATGTATAATGTGTAAATGTATGAATGTATAATGTGTAAATGTATGAATGTATGAATGTATAATGTGTGAATGTAAGAATGAAGCAGGGATTTACCATTATATATATATTAAATGTTTCTCATTAATCAACAATAACTAAACGTATTTGTTGTATTGTTATTGCTGTCATTTGATTAGTCTGCACAGTGTGTATATATGTTTCATTTATTCGTGAAGATGAAGGTGTATTGCTCGTGAAGCTGTCGGTGTGTACTGACTATACCCAGGTCCACACACTTGGTGGGTTTAATTATATTTTATATATGCATTGTGTAATGTTGTTGTCAGTACACACCGACAGCTTCACGAGCAATACACCTACATCTGCACGAATAAATGAAACATATATACACACTGTGCAGACTAATCAAATGACAGCAATCTACAACATTACATGATAAGAAATGCTAATTTCCCTATATGATATGATATGTATATGCCTATCTATGTATGAATTAAAGTATAAATGGAATGTGTCATCAATGAAATATTGAGGCAATGTATATGGAATAAATTAGCAATAATGATATTTTGTAAATGGTTATATTTAAAGATATTGATGATTGATATTATCTATCAGCATATATTTATGTTTTGTCTAAAGATTGTTTTAATTGTTTCAGGGTTTTTTACATGAACTATCAGAAATAAAGGGCCATAATGCGAACACCACCATGTCTGTTCTAATGATTGAAACAGTTCCGGTTTCATATACATTACCCAATTTAACATGAAAGGTATTCACATTTACCTGTACATTACCCCATTTAACATGAAAGGTTTTCACATTTACCTGTACATTACCCCATTTAACATGAAAGGTATTCACATTTACCTATTTAACATGACATTACCCCATTTAACATGAAAGGTATTCACATTTACCTGTACATTACCCCATTTAACATGAAAGGTATTTTTACCTGTACATTACCCCATTTAACATGAAAGGTATTCCATTTACCTGTACATTACCCCATTTAACATGAAAGGTATTCACATTTACCTGTACATTACCCCATTTAACATGAAAGGTTTCACATTACATTACCCCATTTACATTTTTCACCCCATTTAACATGAAAGGTATTCACATTTACCTGTACATTACCCCATTTAACATGAAAGGTTTTCACATTTACCCCCATTTAACATGTACACATTTACCCCCATTTAACATGAAAGGTATTCACATTTACCTATACATTACCCCATTTAACATGAAAGGTTTTCACATTTACCTGTACATTACCCCATTTAACATGAAAGGTATTCACATTTACCTGTACATTACCCCATTTAACATGAAAGGTATTCACATTTACCTATACATTACCCCATTTAAAATGAAAGGTATTCACATTTACCTGTACACAGCCCATTTAATGTTGTGTATTTACCTGTACACTACTCCACGCAATAGAGATCTGTAAACTTTCTCATGTAATTTAGAAAGTAACGCATTTACCTGTACACTGCCTCATGTAATATAGAAAAAAACGCGCATTTGCCTGTCCCCTACCCCATGTAATATACCGCTAGGTGGGTACCGCATTTACCATTATTCCACAACACAGAGGGACACACATTTAACCTATTGCATTAATCTATATATCATAGAACGTAACGTCGTATACCACGACCCTATATCACATGGAAGGTGAATTTTTACCAATATTTAGTATATATACTCCATGTCTATACATGCGTAAGGGGCGATGGAATAGTCTAGCGGTCAACGCGTCCGCTCTTCATGCCGATGACTCGATTCTAATTTGCCTATAGCCGTGTACACACAGGTTACATGGCGGTGGCAAACAACGAATTTATCTAACCGTTTCTCCGACTGATGGAAGGTCCAGGTTTATTGTCCTTTCATAACTATTGAGTATGTTTGTTCACGTCCGCGAAACAACCTACCACAGGTGCTCAGATTGGAGAGCATTGATACCACTGTATTCACTCGCACACACACACACACACACACACACACACACACACACACACACACACACACACACACACACACACACACACACACACACACACGCACACACACACACATTCACACAGACACACACACACACATTCACGCACACACACATATGACATCTTCTAAACATGGAGGTATGGTAGTAATACGTTTTGCTCGTTTATCTAAATCGGTTTCGTCTGTATGGCTAACGAACTGTTGCAGATGAAATATCTAGATAGGAGAGACTCACTGGCATAACTGTGTTTACATGTGTGTGAGAGTACGTTCCGGTGCGTTATCTGTTGACGGGGTGTGTGAAAAAAAATGTCCTTTCAGTCACCAATCAGAAAGTAGCTGCATATTGCAGTGTCAGATCAGGTACCTGATATCTCCATACTAGAAGTCACACAAGTAGGTGCCTACTTACTCGCAGGGTAAAGCAATCCTCCCATCCACAACGATGTTCTGTGGGCCCTCCATGGTGTGTATATAGCGGAAGTAATGAATGCAGGGGGTCAGCGACTCTATACATTGATCCTCAGGGATCTGCCGGCGTTGTGTCTCATGGTCATAATAGGGAAACAGAGCTAGAGACAGTAAGATAACAGTTTAGTTGAACACTTTTTTAAAATAATAATGCTTTAAGTGATTTCCTTTCGCGGATTTACTTTGCTTACCCATGGAAGGATTCCGAGATCGTGGATTCGAACTGCAGATTGATTCTAATTTATGTTGTATTTTCCTTAGAGCTACTACAGTACTACACTTATACAATCCGTTATTATGTTCACCTGATGTAAGATTTATACTTTTCAAAGCTTTACAATGAGTAAGTCTTCGAGATCATGACTGTCCGAAAGGAAAGGAACAGTTCCGCCTTAACCGATCACCCCTAGGTTGCCCAGCGTAAGAGGAATAAATGAGTATCTAATTAAAACCTATATACACCCTATTGTGATCATTTAGTAGATAGATTAGGAAAACGATGAACTTACTATTTGAAAATCTGAAAATACTCAACAATTCACTCACCAAATGAAAAACATATGGCTGGCAGACACAGCAGGAAGACTGCTCGTTCAAACATCGTCAGCGACTTGTTCCCAGTGAATAACTAGTGTGGCTCTAACATAATACATATATAGAGGGTATTACTGGCAGTAATTGCCTCAACACACGAAGTATTTTAGGGAGTAGCCCGGAGAGATTCGTCTAAACGTAATCGCTTCGTTAGGTCATGATCCGCAATTACGTTTCCGAAGGTCAACACTACCAGTAAGTGGGCATTTCAATCCTTTACCATTGGGCAACATCCACAGGTGTTATGCTGGTTAAGGAGGAAACACAGTGACTGCGATTTTGGGAAGTGAACCCGCGATCATAGGCTTCTCTCCAGGCCAAGAATAAAGACGAATCGCAACTAACGGATCGTGGCAGCGAACCGCATGAATCAGTTGGGTGGGGTGGGATCGAGAATTGGGGACGGGAAAATTAAGTGTACGTGTAGAGAGGGGACATCTAGACAAGGGATGTGTGAATTTGTGTTGACCGTAGACAGGAGATATGTGTGTGGGTGTATGTTAGAGAGGGGAGGTTTGTACAGGTGTGTACGGGTGGAGAGTAGATGTCTGTGCACAGGGAGACAGGAGATATGTGTGAGCGTGTAAGCGGGATATGTGTGAAACAGGATGTGTGTATGTGCATGTTGACATGAAACGTGTGTGTGTTCTTGGAGAAAAGGATGTGTGTGTGCTTGTTAACAGCATGTGTATCGTCGACCTGTCTCATTTACCAATTATATCAAGACAGTTTGTCAGTCATTATTTGGAACAAATCTACATGGCCAAACAAAGAACATTAAACTCAGAATACCAAATATGATGCGCCTGTTGATATGGACGTTAAAGCTCCTCTGAGTGCAGCGGTTGACAATGCCATTTGTCATGCCTGGAAACCTCGAACGTCATCTCGTATCCCCCCCAAAAAAACCCCAAACAAACAAACAAAACAAAGTAAAACCAAAACCAAACCAAACCAAAACAAAACAAAACAAGCCCTTTATGTTCTTTCAAAACATTGTATTCGCGAAAACGATATTTACGCAGGGACATACATAATTGTTATAAAGCACCGGAAGTCGCTGTGCAGCGTTACCTCCCTTGAGAGTACTCTGAGTCATAGTCTGTCAGCACATGGTCCTTCACATGGGCTTAACCAAAGTGGTAAACGTCTTACAGCATCATCACCTTAGGCGTCTCTTCTTCTGAATCAACCCGTGAAGATCCAGGTAGAATTGGTCTTCAGCAACCAATGCTTGTCGTAAGAGGCGGCGAACGGGATCGGTTGGTCAGGTTCGCTGACTTAGCTGACACATGTCAACGTATCCCAATTGCGTAGATCGATGTTCATGCTGTTGATCACATGATTGTCTGGTCAAGACTCGATTATTTACAGACTGCCGCCATATAGCTGGAATATTGCTGAGTGCAGTGTTAAAAGAACAACCAACCAACATCTTCTGAATCATCAATATCACTGGAAATAACGTATATACTGTGTTGTTTTGGAAAGTGGTAACAAAATGATAAAGTTAAGTGGTATAGGTACAAATAAAACGAGTTTTGTTAGGGACGGACTTGGGATTCGAACTCACACTGTTACACACTATCAGCGATTTGACCCACGTAGCCATCGATCCTTACATAAATATGTATTCTAGATCACTTTGTTTGTGTACCCCTCCGATAACTGTAACCCAACACGGCTCCCATTACAGGAAGTTATCAGCACACAATGCATTCAGAATGTGGACGAAGCACATGTAATCAGTAATTGTATGATTACCCCCATTACCTTATTTTATAGTCCTGACATCCGGAATCAATTTAGCTAGAAATCAAGCTATATTTTATCCATTAATAAAGTAAGAGTAGGAAAGTCATCCTGTTTTCCACATGCAAATAATTATGATCTATCAGGTCAAATAGATCTACATTGCTTTTATGGTTCACAAATGACTAAACTCGGCTTGCTGAAAAAATGTAAATAGATAATTTTATACAAATAGTGGAGACGCAAATACTCGCTGTATGTTCCTACAAAAACCTTAACTGCTTTTGCGTCAGTCACGACAAAAAGGAAATTACAACATAGAAATAACATTTGATCTTTAGATATATTTATATACTCAAAATGTCATTCTAAAGGTATTATTCAATTACATTTTATATACGGTTCTCGTGTTTGAATTTAAAATGATAATCATCTTTTCTTGCATACCCGACATTAAACTCATGATTAGCATTTGGTATTTTGCTCTACCTTTTCGAAGGAGTCAAATACTAGTATGATATGGGGTTCGCCGGCGATTTTTTCGCACCAGGTGGCGTGCGTGTACTAGTGGTTATAGGCGGGAACCGGAAGTTGATTACTTCATAGCGCTACGCTGTTTTGACATCACTGACACTGTACATATCAGTACATTTTTCCGTCGAAATGCCGCGGTATTGTTCTTTACCTGGTTGTACCAACTCCGGAGGACACAGATACCCATCTGATTCTGATTTACGACTGAAGTGGCGAGTGGCCATATGGCGAGTCGACCCAAAGACGAAGAAACTTTGGCAACCCGGAAAAACTGACGTTGTGTGTCAGTCACACTATACAGCACATGACTACACGGTGACGTTATTAGGTATAGATCAAGAATTTCAATTTCATCATGCTTGATTAATTTGAGAAAGAGTCGAAACAGATAAATGCATATACATTGTATTCACTTATTGACACTATTACATGTGTATTTAGCAAAGTAATTTACAGTCATATATCAATCAAATATTAATTGCAACATATTTTATTAAAAATTGTTCAATTTATCTCTCAATAATCGCCTGTGGAAAATGATAACCATCTTCTCTTGCATACCCGACATTAAACTCATGATTAGAATTTGTTGTTTTGCTCTACCTTTTCGAATTAGTCAAATATCTTAAAGTTTCATGACTTATATTTGAAATTGTCAAGGAGTAGGGTCGGATGTTATTGTGTTATTTTCATTGAATGAGTAGATCAGTAAGTGAGCCTTTCTGCAGTTGTTGATCACACACGTGACAAAGCCATCAGCTTAGTACCTTAACAAAATTATAAATTCTCACATATGTACGATAATTAATAAGTACATATGGGTAATTTCTGTTGCATTATCTTGCACTGACGGGCACAACTAATCGAACTGTCTGACTTGCCTCAATTGTCTGTGCAGAGTTGGGCCCCTTCTTCATTCAGAAACCTATCACTGAGGCAAGTCAAGGATTCACTGTACAAGCACAAGCATATATGGTCAAAATAGCGAACAAGATTTCAAAACCATTTAGCTATAACCGAAACTATGTTCAAAATGGCGTGAAACCCAACTTTCCAACAAACTCTCTTGCTAACTTAAGAGACAATCTGAAATTCCGATGACATGTTGAGTAATATGACTGACCAATTCACTCACAATGTAGTTCTGTACGTACCCGTGTTAACCCCAGCATTTGAATTTTGGAGTCAAATGTCATAGTGTGTGCAGTTGTTCGTAGTTTGATGAATTCTCTGGGTATTTCCTTATCAATGCAACTTCCCTGGCTAGCGTATATTATATATTTTTTGATTTGATTAATTAAGTTACACTTCACAACTCATGACAACCTTTCCAAATAATATAAAGCAAGAGAATGTGTTGTACATATAGCACACCCTGTGTCTTAATATACATCACTGCAGGACTTTTAATATTGTACTTCAGAATTCACGACGTATTAACGGGCTAGGAAGAAGTGTGTTTTACCACAAGGAATATTGTTTCACATGTCAATGTTGTTTTGGACACTTTTCATGTGCTGCTCGGACCGCACTTGCTGTAGGTGAAACGTTGATTGACCGCGGTGAGTGGTGTTGTGTTTAAACCATACTTATCTTATGTCCTTTCTCAGCTTATCATGTTAGATTATAAGTGAGTGAGTGAGTTTAGTTTTACGCCGCACTCAGCAATATGCCAGCTATATGACGGCGGTCTGTAAATAATCGAGTCTGGACCAGGCACTCCAGTGATCAACAGCATGAGCATCGATCTGCGCAATTGGGAACCGATGACATGTGTCAACCAAGTCAGCGAGCCTCACCATCCGATCCCGTTAGTCACCTTTTGTGGCAAGCATGGGTTGCGGAATAAACGTATTTACGTTAAGAAAAATATATACTAACCAAAATGTTTCATCTATCCAGATTCATTTTTTTCATTGCTCATTCTAAATCTTTTGAAATATGTCAATGGTGTTTTCTGGACTAGACTGTGAAAAGGGGAAGTAACAGAAATTTGAGTTGAGGGTACATTTGAGTTGAGAATATGTTAGTCCGAATAATATGGCTTTGACTATTATAATTGTATTAATATCCACAGCTTTGTCTGGTTCAATCAGAACAACATCCACTCACTCACTCATACACGAGATTCGATGTGCAGAATGCTTCGATCCAAATTCCAAAATCGAGGGTCGTAGTCCTAATCCAGCTCAGTAACCAAAACGAGAACGTGCACCAGTTCGAGCTTTCCCCGACGTTAAGGTGATTGCAAGCGGTTAACTGTTTTGGACCAATGCAGCTTACACGTGATGTTTCTTGTGCAATTTGCGACCAAGATGTCAAAAGATGCATGAATTCTGACTTCAAACATAGATTTGACACCTGCAAGAATGTAATCTTACCTTTATTAAACAGTGTTATTCAACACCAACAGGAACACGCGGGGTATTCAGTAGCAGGGCGTATTGACAGAGACGCCACCAGAAGCTACAATAGTGTGTAGTCTAATGTATCTATTGCTGTTGGGTTTCTAGATGTTGTTAGTTTTCTGTTTTTCTTTCTAACAAAACCCCAATATCAGAATATTTGTAACCATAATGAAAGGCAGATCGTGACCTGAACAGTCTCATGTGATGATTCCACGGACGTTCAACGGTGTTTATCTTTTTAGTGCAGGTAACATCTGAGGACTATGTAGTCGATCCCTTGTAAATGTTGGTAACGTCTTGAGATTTGATGGCCGTTCCTCCATACAGAGAGTTGCGTGAACCGAATCTAGCATCCATATACTTGCTCAAAGACAGCGGCTGCCATGCCACTCAAGACGATGGAGTCCTGTGTAGAGCAATCCGGCACCATTGCCGCACCTTCTCTGATGCAGGTAGGCGGACGACTGAAAAAATGTGTTCAACTGAGATATATTAAGTATTATAAGTTGTGAGCGTATTCCTTCATGTCACTTCAGTTTAGTTTTAAGCCATTCTTAAGAACGGGACAATTGCGATTGATTAGGCAGTTTGCGAGGGTTAGAGAGAATTTTTTATCATATAACATAAATTGTCGTCTGTTGAATCAGTTGATTTTGGCAAGTATATGTCTGACATTAAGGCACAGGCTTACGCATGCTTACTTTCCCTCCAAATGTGACACTGATCAGTGCCGAATGGGCATTAATTGAATAAGCACTCCTTGAATCCAGTGGCACGTTTTATATACTCAAAGGCAAACGTTATTGTGACATGGGATTTTTATGTATATCAACAATATGAACTCTAACAGAACAAAAGATGCGTGAAGTAGTAAGTCTATACACTCATGGGAATCCTTGGGGAAAGGAGAAACTGAAAGAAGTAGTGATCAAGTCCTTGCTAAATTTCCAAAAATTTCCAAGCCTTGGGAATATCATCTTTACAATTTTGGATTTTTTTTGAAATATGATATTTCTTAATTGGAATTTTTTGGAAATCACCATTTTTTAATTTTTTTTAGTGGTAATCTTATGAATGAATATTTGGAATTGGACCAGAGAAAGAGCATATGAAAATGGTAGACGAAACGTAACCCAGCAGTTTTTGTGTAAATTGAACGAAATGTGCAAGAAGCACGACATATTCGTGCAAATATGGCCAGTAACGTTCACTTGAAAAGGACAGATGATCCTTGCAAGACGTTCACTCCGGCCAATTTTGAAGCCAGAACAACAACGTCTCCAGTGGAGCAGACAACACTAGTGATGGGGAGCACATGTGTGGGAAATAGTTCGCTTCAGCGATAAGTCACGTTTCCTTCTTCACTGCGCTGACAACAGGACACGTGTCTTGAGTGAATGAGTTATAATCTGCCACATTTGATAATCAACAATCATTTTTTGAAAACTGTGTGACAATCAGCTTGATGGTGACCATACTCTCTGGCAATGTTGATATTCACGTTTTTGTGTATTCCTCTCAGATTGAAACTAAAGTGTTACCGAATTTTAAGTTCAATTTTGTTTACGTAAGACTAAAATGAACCTCATGGCGCTCCAGGATAAACGTTGTAGCAAAAGCTAAGTTGCGGTTGCTGTGATGGTCAAAATTAGTGTGGCAATACACTTTGTGGAGGGTTCATCACATGGTCATGGGGGTAGCAGCGGATGATTGAATATCAGTCAGCTGGCAACTGGAGGTCAAAATGGAAAGTTCACAGACCATACACTTGTGAAGAAGTGAAGAAATTTGAAAGAACTGGCTAAATATCTGATGCGAATTGTTTCTCATTGCCATTCAGATCCTCTAGAGCCAATGACAGCCCAGTGTCGGTTTAAAAAAATAATAAACCTTCAAATAAACTCACGCTCCGCGATCTGCGGTCACGCTAACCATCCTGTGTGGTTTGGGTGCGTCTGGGGGAGACATACTATGATGAAAGCACACTGTCTCTGACGAATAGTGTTTGGACATAATAACATGGTAACACCCATATCATCTTATGTATCAACGTATCCAGGTGATTAATATTTGATATTATCTTACCTTCATGTGAAATACTTTAATTTCATTGTCAATGACGTTTTAACAAGTTTCTGTGTCACCCCTCCCTGGAGGGTGACAACTGGAAAAAATATTACCCGCTGCAAAGGTAACTGCCAAACTCTCCGCTGAGAGGTGAGGTGAAATTGGGTTTAACGTCGTACTTGAGAATATTTCGCTCATATGACGACGTGGATGCGTGTGTATGTGTATGTGCGGCTGCCTGTACTAGCCGAGACTGAAGCTGGTTTTATAGTGCTAGCCCACTGAGATACCATGCCGCAGTGAAGCATGAATACCCCACTCAGACACATTATTCTGACTCCGAGCCGACCAGTCCTTGTTGTACCCATTAATGCCGAGCGCCAGGCAGGGACCAACAAGTACCATATTTTAACGTCTTTTGGTATGACGCGATCGGGGATCGAACCCGCGACCTTCCGCTCTCCGGGCGGACGCTCTAACCACTACACCACGGAGGCGGTCTCTCCGCTGAGAAGCTGAATCGTATGACGTCATAATATGACGCATGCAGTGTACGGAGTTAGAAAATCGTTCGATTAGCTGTTAGCATTAAGTCGTTTGCACACTCAACTTAAACATAATTAACCATTTTTATAGCAGTGTTTAGCTTGTCAGAATATGTTTCACTGGTTTACAATACCAGAGGAGAGGCAGACGCCATTTTTTTTACATGTCATATAGTCGGTAGCGATCTTTGAAATAAAATGAAGTGATATTTTGTACATTTAACATGAGGGTAAGCTAAATACGTTGTATGCTTCTCCCTCGGGTAATACGGTCTGATGTACGCCTCTTTGTAGCAGTGTCATCCCTTGCCTACCGGTGCTACAACTTATAATATAGACTATTTACCACAGAATATTCGAAGAAAGGCACGTAAAATACGTCGACTGAAGCCTCGAGTTGTTCCAGCATTGTTCCCCTGCTACAAATGCTGAAACAGACATGATGGTAGATTGGCGACTGGTACGTTTACAGGCGAAATGTTAATCATATTGACACATCCCATCACATCACATCAACATAATCAGTATAGTATCCATAATAATAACCTATAAGAATACCGATGTTGACGTTGCCATCTGTTGAGATCCCTTCATAATCAAAATCAAAGCAAGCTTCCCTTGATCAAATTCGTTTTCTAAAAAATCTTTAATATATTTATGATGGCATAAACAATGTAATTTCACTGCCTAATCAATAGTAGTGCATGTTACCAGCGGTCTGTCGCTGTCCTTTACTTCAAAGACGAGAGAGTTTACATAACTATCGGGGACATAATTTCACATGCAAAGAAAGTGAGATACATAACCATTGGTACACAATCTCCCCTGACACTGAGATACATAACCACTGGTGCTCAATCTCCCCTGACACTGAGATACATAACCACTGGTGCTCAATCTCCCCTGACACTGAGATACATAACCATTAGTGCTCAATCTCCCCTGACACTGAGATACATAACCACTGGTGCTCAATCTCCCCTGACACTGAGATACATAACCACTGGTGCTCAATCTCCCCTGACACCCACCAAAATGTGAGATACATAACCATTGGTACACAATCTCCCCTGACACTGAGATACATAACCATTAGTGCTCAATCTCCCCTGACACTGAGATACATAGCCATTGGTGCTCAATCTCCCCTGACACTGAGATACATAACCATTAGTGCTCAATCTCCCCTGACACCCACCAAAATGTGAGATACATAGCCATTGGTGCTCAATCTCCCCTGACACTGAGATACATAACCATTAGTGCTCAATCTCCCCTGACACCCACAAAATGTGAGATACATAGCCATTGGTGCTCAATCTCCCCTGACACTGAGATACATAACCATTAGTGCTCAATCTCCCCTGACACCCACCAAAATGTGAGATACATAACCATTAGTGCTCAATCTCCCCTGACACTGAGATACATAACCATTGGTACACAATCTCCCCTGACACCCACCAAAATGTGAGATACATAAGCATTTGTGCTCAATCTCCCCTGACACTGAGATACATAACCATTGGGGCTCAATCTCCCCTGACACTGAGATACATAACCATTAGTGCTCAATCTCCCCTGACACCCACCATAATGTGAGATACATAGCCATTGGTGCTCAATCTCCCCTGACACTGAGATACATAACCATTAGTGCTCAATCTCCCCTGACACCAACCAAAATGTGAGATACATAGCCATTGGTGCTCAATCTCCCCTGACACTGAGATACATAACCATTAGTGCTCAATCTCCCCTGACACCCACCAAAATGTGAGATACATAACCATTGGTGCTCAATCTCCCCTGACACTGAGATACATAACCATTAGTGCTCAATCTCCCCTGACACTGAGATACATAACCATTAGTGCTCAATCTCCCCTGACACCCACCAAAACGTGAGATACTTAACAATTGGTGCTCAATCACACCTGACACCCAAGTAAAGAGTTTTACCAAAAGAAAAACTGTTCACTGTCCCCAATGGCAAATACATCAAAAGAACGTATATGACTATACAAGGTACCCATGACACTAACGTGAAGAGAATCCACTGAACCACCGGATACACAATATCCCTGTTCATAGCACCATTGGGTATCTTGTTTGTTGAATAGATATTAGTTCCATTGTAAGTTTTATGAACCTTCAAATTTCATGCAGCATACCTGGGCCGTTTTGGCAAATGAACTCCCACGATATCTGAAACCATCGTGCCATCGTGTAGAAGCCGAAGTCACTACACTGACTGGTAGCATCAAGGCAGTTCCAGCTTTCCTCCAGGATGTTTGACCTTACACAAACAATTACGATGACGTGAGTGGGTGAGTGCGTAAGTGTGTGAGGTTTTGGGTGAGTGAGTTGGATCAGAGAGCGAGCGAGTAGGTTGGGGGGTGGGTGAAGAAGAGAACGGGAGGGCCGGAGGGCGGTTAAGTTAGTATAGACCACCCCGTGTAATACGTAAGGTAACGAATTTAAAGTATACTTTGCCCGCATTTTATTACTCCACATTGATCCACAAATCGGAGGCGAGCACATCCAACCTATTCTGTTACTCTATATACCTTAGAACGTAACGTAATCTATCTATCTATCTATCTATCTATCTATCTATCTATCTATTTATTTAAAAAGATAGATTACAGATGTTTGTTAACTGTGATACTTAACTTACTGTTTTACTGTCCTTTGATGACAGACATTTAGTCGTCATTAACTTGGTCTCATCGCGATGTGGCTGCAATATTGACGATGCGATGTAAACTTTTAACTCACTCACTCACTCACTAGATATTTCTGCTTGTCACAGGGGCGGTGGAGTAGCCTAGTGGTTAAAGCGTTGGCTCGTCACGCCGAAGACCCGGGTTCGAATCCCCACATGGGTACAATGTGTGAAGCCCATTTCTGGTGTCCCCCGCCGTGATGTTGCTGGAATATTGCTAAAAGCGGCGTAAAACCATACTCAGTCAGTCAGTCTGCTTGTCACAACTTTGTACACACAAGATCTTTCCCCGTTCAACATTTTATACGACGAAAGATCTTGAGTTTCTATATCATCTGGACTTTTATGCATGTATCTTTTATGCATGTATTGCTTATAAGTATCTGCTATCATTATTATAAGTCACACAACTAGGAGCCTACTTACTCGCACGGTACAGCCAGCCTCCCATCAACAACGATGCTTTGTGGATCCCTCACGGACAACATAGGTTGGATGGCATCAAAGCAAGGACTGAACAGCGTAAGGCAGTGTTCCTCACGTCCTAGACCACTGGACGCGTTCACTATGTTCTGCTCAGGATTCTGCCGACGCTGTGTCTCATGGCCAGCATTGGGAAACAGAGCTGGAGGCAGTAATAGCAGTTTAGTTAAAAAAAAATTAATAATATTGTTAAGGTGTTAGGTCAACTGTACGTCACTCATCCATGAAATGATTCGGTGATCATGGGTACTAAAGAATACATACTGACTCGGACTTGGATGTTGTGTTCTCGTGAATTCAATTACAGCGCTTCACCTACCTGCAATACTCGTTATTTGAGAAAATGTTCACCTGGTGTAAGAGAATACTTTAAAAAGCTTTGAATCCATCATCGAGAATGTGATTGTCTGAAAGGAAGGGGATGGTTCTGCAATAAATTGATGGCACCCTTGTCTCCCTACCAGAGGAGTTATGAATGAGCAATACTATCTAAAATCTATTGGTAGCAGGTTGTGATCGTTTAGCACATACATTTAGATAACAATGGGCTTACGAATCTGAATATTCTCAACAAAGCACTCAACAAATGAAAAACATATTGCTGGCAAATACAGCAGAAAGACCGCTCGTTCAAACATCGTCAACGACTTGTTCCCAGTGAATAACTGGTGAAGCTCAAACATGAAACATATACGGTGGATATTACTGGGAGTAATTGCTTCAATTCACAAAGTATATTAGGTTTGTGACCTGGAGTTAGTCTACTGAACGTCACGGTGTCGTTAGATCATTATTCTCAAGTTGCGGTTTCAAAGGTCAACATTTGGACATTTTCACATTTACAGACAGACAGACAGAAAGTTTATTTAGGCCATGGGCCCCAAACCCCATTGAATACAGTATTCAGATAACTTATACAGTCCACCCTGCAAACCTTTAATATTGTTGCTAAATATAACCATGTCGTCTGCAAAAAGGAGTAATAACAAGCGTACGTGAAAAACCAAGACACCATGATCTAAGGCTGGTGACAAAGCTTCTACAACATCATTAACAAAAAACGAAAATAGAATCGGCGATAAATTTTTGCCTTGACGAACTCCAAAAAAGGAAGCAAAGAATTCTGAATAAGCATCATCTGATTGTCTCACACAAGATTTAACATCACTGTACATTTTCTTAAGTAGTGTCAAAAATGTAGAACTTATCCCCAAATGATATAACTTATAGCACAATGCATTCCTATTCACATAATCGAACGCTTTACGGTAGTCAACAAAAGTACAATATAATTTTAAACCCTTTTCAAGAGCTATATTTATAAGTCCATGAAGAACAAAGAGACAATTAATAGTACTATAACCCTCTCTAAATTCAGCTTGTTCCTCTACGAGTATACTGTACTTATCACACCAACTTGAAATTCTAACACACAATACCTGTAAATAACTTACTGATGTGTGTACGTGTCGATTGGGGATGTGAGTACCTGTAGATTGGGAATGTGAGTACCTGTAGATTGGGGATGTGAGTACGTGTAGATTGGGGATGTCTGTACCTGTAGATTGGGAATGTGAGTACCTGTAGATTGGGGATGTCTGTACCTGTAGATTGGGGATGTGTGTACGTGTAGATTGGGGATGTGAGTACCTGTAGATTGGGGATGTGAGTACCTGTAGTTTGGGGATGTGAGTACCTGTAGATTGGGAATGTGTGTACGTGTAGATTGGGGATGTCTGTACCTGTAGATTGGGAATGTGTGTACGTGTAGATTGGGGATGTGTGTACGTGTAGATTGGGGATGTCTGTACCTGTAGATTGGGGATGTGTGTACGTGTAGATTGGGGATGTGAGTACCTGTAGATTGGGGATGTCTGTACCTGTAGATTGGGAATGTGTGTACGTGTAGATTGGGGATGTGTGTACCTGTAGATTGGGAATGTGTGTACGTGTAGATTGGGGATGTCTGTACCTGTAGATTGGGAATGTGAGTACCTGTACATTGGGAATGTCTGTACCTGTAGATTGGGAATGTGAGTACCTGTAGATTGGGGATGTGTGTACGTGTAGATTGGGGATGTCTGTACGTGTAGATTGGGGATGTGTGTACGTGTAGATTGGGGATGTCTGTACCTGTAGATTGGGAATGTGTGTACGTGTAGATTGGGGATGTCTGTACCTGTAGATTGGGCATGTGAGTACCTGTAGATTGGGGATGTGAGTACCTGTAGATTGGGAATGTGAGTACCTGTAGATTGGGAATGTGTGTACGTGTAGATTGGGGATGTCTGTACCTGTAGATTGGGCATGTGAGTACCTGTAGATTGGGGATGTGAGTACCTGTAGATTGGGAATGTGAGTACCTGTAGATTGGGGATGTGAGTACGTGTAGATTGGGGATGTGAGTACGTGTAGATTGGGGATGTGAGACCGTGTAGATTGGGGATGTCTGTACCTGTAGATTGGGGATGTGTGTACGTGTAGATTGGGGATGTCTGTACCTGTAGATTGGCAATGTGTGTACGTGTAGATTGGGGATGTCTGTACCTGTAGATTGGGGAAGTCTGTACCTGTAGATTGGGAATGTGAGTACCTGTAGATTGGGGATGTGAGTACCTGTAGATTGGGAATGTGTGTACGTGTAGATTGGGGATATGAGTACGTGTAGATTGGGGATGTGAGTACCTGTAGATTTTGGATGTTAGTACGTGTAGATTGGGGATGCGTGTACTTGTAGATTGGGGATGTGTATACATGTAGATTGGGGATGTGTATACATGTAGATTGGGAATGTGTGTACATGTAGATTGGGGATGCGTGTACATGTAGATTGGGGATGCGTGTACATGTAGATTGGGGATGTGTATACATGTAGATTGGGGTTGTGTATACCAGATATAATCTGTAATTGTATGATTATCCCCATTACCTTATTTACAACATTTATTATCCTGACATCCGGAATCATTTTAGCTAGAAATCAAGCTATATTGTATCCATTAATAAAGTAAACGTACGAAACATTGCCTTCATGGTTCACAAATTAGTGAAATCGGCTTGTTTGAAAACAATTCAATAGATATAGCTGTAACACAGAGACCGATTACATGTTCCTCCAGCATTACCCCATTATCTGGTTACACGTACAGCAATTATCTCAACTGCCTTTACATCAGTCACGGCAGAAGTGAAATTACAACATAAAATTAACATTTGAACTTGACACGAGGTGCATATATATTATATTCCCAAATTCGTGCCATCGTACGTGGAAAATGTCATTATTAAGGTATTATTCAATTAATATTTGAAACAAGATTCTGATATTTGAATTTGCGATGAAGTGAGTAATCCGTTCCTACATACACGATATTAAACTGACTAGCATTCGTTATTTTGCTCTGCCTTTTTGAAAAAGTCAATCATGATGAATTCTAATAATCGTCAAAGGTTAGGGTCGAACGTTATTTGTGTTTTCTTCTTTGAATGAGTAGATCAGTAAGTGAGCCTTTGCCCAGTTGTTGATCAAATACTTCACAAAAACATCAGCTTAGCACCTGTAACCCGCCCACTATAGATGGAACGCATTTTACTGTACAATATTCCATGTAATATAGAAAGTAAAACATTTACCTGTTCAATGCTTTATGCATGATAGAAAATAATACATTCACCTGAACAATACCTCATGTAAACAAATATAGAAAAAACCGTATTTACCTGTACACTGCCTTATGTTACATAGAAAGTAATTAACCTGAACAATACCCATGTAAAAATGAAGGTAACGCATTTACCTGTACGTGGCCTCACCTGTTCACTAACCCATCTATATAATATAGATGATAACGCATTTAAATGTACACTCAACCACGTAATATAGAAAGTAACGTGTACGTACCTACCCGTACACGGCCTCGTGTGATATAGAAGGTATTGCATTTACTTGTAAACTTTTTTATGCAATTTAGAAATTAACGCGTTTACCTGTCCACTACCCAATGTAATTACAGATTGACTCTAATTTGGAGCTTGTTTTTAGTGAGTGAAGTAATGAATTCATTGAGTTGAATCACTGGTACAATACGTTGGCATTATTTTCACCTGATGAAAGTACAATACGTCTGCATAGTTCAGCATTTAACTGATCACGCCATGGGTTGCCCTACTATAAGAGTTATAAATGGATGTCTAAAATCTACATACAACAGTTGGCGATCATTTAGTACAAAGATTAAGAAAACAATGAACTTACAAATCTCAAAATACTTAACAATGCACTCGTCAAATGAAAACCATATTGCTGGCTAGAAAAAGAATATAACTTACTCTCATAGCTCCCTACCCTCCATGGAGTGTCTCACGTGTCTAGATCTCCAACATACGACACTACTGATACCAGAAGAGTATACTTTAGCAGAAATATCTTTAATGATATATCATGGGAGACTTGACCATAAGTCATCGCCCTATGGCACCATGTAGATCAGTCCTCAATAGTCTGTGCCTTCTATTCCAGGGCAATTTAAGTAAAGTGGTTCGGTACAAATTAGCCGCTTTTTTCTTGGTGGTGGTGTGTGTGTGTGTGTGTGTGTGTGTGTGTGTGTGTGTGTGTGTGTGTGTGTGTGTGTGTGTGTGTGTGTGTGTGTGTGTGTGTGTGTGTGTGTGTGTGTGTGTGTGTGTGTGTGTGTGTGTTGGTGTAGGGGCGCCTTCGGGATTCGACCTCGCACTCTTACACTCAGTCTGCGACCTAATCCACTCACCCATCAAAGTTCACACAAAAATGGAAATCTAGATCACTTAGTTTGTGTACCCCTCCTATTATCGTAACCTAACACGGCTCCGCGGACCGAAATACACAATGCCTTTTAGTAAGTGGTCACATACAACAAGTGTTACTTAAGGGATTCTCATATTCACAACTGAGAGAGGTTTATTACAAAATGTGTTAAAAAGCCTTATACTGCATATTCTTTAGCAAATCTTTTCAGGAATACTAATGAAGACACTGTAAAATCTGTTGTCTTGTATCTGTTTTATGTTAAAAGGATTATTATAAACATATTTGGTTTCCCTTTACAGCCTATGGTATCAGTTTAGGCAGATATTGGAGACCTAATAATCTCTGGTATTACACATGTGATATGAATTTACCAGCTCAATGAAGATAAACAACCGGATCACAAACCACGTCCTGGAAACAAAAGTCACCGTTCCTGATGTGTCATTAATAATGAGTTTATGATTACCTCCATTAAGTTTATTTACAAGATTTATAATCCCGACAACAGGAAATCAAGTTACATTCGATACCTGAATATGATAATTACATAAAAGTAGGACTGTTATCCTCTCTTTCATAAATTATTTAATTATGCTGTGTTCAGGTCAAGTGGAGACATGTTTGATCCACAAACTGCTGAAATCTGCTCAGTTAAAATGAATGTCGGCACAGTTTAACGCAGAGACTCATTACCTAAAGTGCCTGACATTGTCCCATTATCTCGGTAAGTGACTACAATAATCTGAGATTTACTTTTAAGATAACTTTTATTGACATATTACTTTTTACAGACGGTGCCACAAGAGGGCGCCACTTGTCAAACAAATGCCGGGGTGACTTGCTATTTTTATTACATAACTAGATTTGGGACAGATTTTTCCACAAAATGACACCAGATTTAGCAATTTCTTGACATTTTGATAATTTGTATCTAACCTCCTTAATGACGCCAACCGTGAAGGTCCGGGTTAGAATATTGGCCTTCAGTAACCCATGCTTGTCGTAAGAGGCGACTAACGGGATCGGGTGGTCAGGCTCGCTGACTTGGTTGACACATGTCATCGGTTCCCAATTGCGCAGAGCGATGCTCATACTGTTGATCACTGGATTGTCTGGTCCAGACTCGATTATTTACAGACCGCCGCCATATAGTTGGAATATTGCTGAGTGCGGCGTAAAATTAAACTCACTCACTCACTCATTAATGACGCCGAGTATATATTCTAGTAATAATGTGAAGAGAAGGTTGCTCATTTGTTTCTACATAAATTCTGTTGTTTGTTGATTTTACTTGTATTTGTCAGATATAGTTTGTCAGTTAATCAAGCACACTCACTTACAAGGTGAACATGTGAGCCATAGCTTTTGAGATATTGTGTGAAGCACATGCTTTGTCTAGTAATAGGCTATGATCGCCTGTTTAGACCAAAATTTTCAAAGTTGCCCTTGGGTTCAGGTTGCGCTTAATTAACGTGTATATAAGTCATTTGCCTATTGTGATAGATCTATATCGTATGTCAGTCTCAAATAAATCTCTCCATTCGTTTTCTTATAATCTACTTTAAATTATTTCTGTAAGTTAATAATTTGTCAGTACACTTAATATTATCTGAATGACTAAAAACTATAAAGTGGTAATCACTGAACTGGCGTTACAGGTTTTACCGGCACATAAGTGTCACTTATCAAGATACGCCAAGGCTTGGTACAATGTACCATTGATTATCAAATACTGCTTTCATATGATTCATGTTTCAAAAGTTGAAACAGATTAATTATATTTACCCTTGAGTTTAATAACACGATAGTCATATCTCCGCAATATAGTCATGATGACAGCGCCGACAATAATACAGCGTGTACAATAACTGATATTATTTTACAAAATGATACAAAATGGGTACATAACCAAAATCTTCATCTCTCAGGTAAGAATGATACCTTGTGAGTCTGAATTATGATATTTAAACATCAAAACATAACGTGTCTTGTTAAACAAATAGCTTGAACTAGACTCCCCAGTATCTTTTCAATGTGTTCGCATTGCACTAATAATGACTATGCAAATTTACACATATGTAAATATACATTTACATGACCTCCAGATCTGCTCCTTGTGTAAATATACCCACATGTGTTACAAGATGCGTTCGCATGACACGTGTACACGTGTGTGTGTTCTTACATGGTGTATAACGTATACAGTTGCATACGAATGGAGTATAAGTAGCATTCACTATTTTGCTTTTAATTACTACTTGTTCAAATAGTTACCTACGAATCTATTTTTTGTAATACTTATATTTCCAATCTTGAGGTTAAAGCGTTGGCTCGTCAAGCCGAAGACCCGGGTTCGAATCCCCACATGGGTACATTGTGTGAAGCCCATTTGTGGTGTCCCCCGCCGTGATGTTGCTGGAATATTGCTAAAAGCGGCGTAAAACCAAACCAAACCAAACTCAGTCAGTCCAATCGTGAAGGACGAGGGTCAGATGTTGTGAGTGTTATCTTCGTTAAATTAGTGTACGGCCATCGCCACTGGATTTCACCAAAGCACTAAATGTCCAGGGGCGGTGGGGTAGCCCAGTGGTTAAAGCGTTCGCTCGTCACGCCGAAGGCCCGAGTTCGATTCCCCACATGGGCACATTGTGTGAAGCCGTGATATTGCTGGAATATTGCTAAAAGTGGCGTAAAACCCAACTCACTCACTCACTAAATGTCCAAGACCAGCATCATGTAGGGCTTTCCTCAACACGTCACAGATGCAAGGGCAAGAGTTGGCATGAACAACAAACAAGTTAGTATCATTTGTTCAAATCGAGAATTGCATAGGAAACTACATACAACCCACACAACATTTGTGTTGGGAATATCGCCAACTATAGGTGAAACTTGGATCATATTCAATGCCACCGACCAATGAAGCTGACACGTAACATGATTTCTTTGCCCTTTTTTCCGGCTAAGAGGGTACAAGATACATGAACCTCAACTTAAAAACTGGATGTGACACACACAGGAATGTACAAATGCAATTCAAACAGAATGAGTAAACACAAACAAGAACAAGCAGGGTACACTGACTGACTGACTGACTGAGTTTGGTTTTACGCCGCTTTTAGCAATATTCCAGCAACATCACGGCGGGGGACACCACAAATGGGCTTCACACATTGTACCCATGTAGGGATTCGAACCCGGGTCTTTGGCGTGACGAGCCAACGCTTTAACCACTAGGCTACCCCACCGCCCCAGCAGGGTACACAGTAGCAGGGCCTATTGACAGAAATGTTAGAAGGTGCAGTTGTGTGTAGTGCAACCTGTTTATTTCTGTAAAGCTTTTCGGGAATGTCATGCATTTCTAGTTTTGTCTAAAATGTTTTGTAAATAGCGCTACGTTGTTAGTGTTTCGGTTTTATTTCTAAAATGTCCAGAATTCATTAGAAAATGAATTCGTCAGAATAATTTTGTAACAATAACGAAAATCTGATCCTGAACAGTCAAATGCCTTTATTCTACAGAGTTCCAGTGTAGATGATCTCTCTCTTGTGAGTGCAGTTACTCTGATGATTTCATGTTAAGTCCCTTGTGAACGCTGGCGATTCCATGGCCATTTCCTTGCACAGGGAGATGCGTGAACTGAATCTAGCATGTTTCTTGCATTGGCGCTGTCATGATAGCTGACAGGCGCCGCAAGAGGTTGGCGTCGTCTGAAGAGCATTCGGGTATCTTCAACACACTTGCTTGGACGCAGGTAGGTATGCTGGTAAACATATAAGTTAAACAAGTATAATGGCAAATAGTGTATCATACAGACCCCGACACAAATATATCCAGAGAACAGAGAGACAGAGAGAGACAGCGGGAGAGAGTTAGAGAGTGAGAGAGAGAGAGATGGATGGATGAAAATGGACTTTCATGGTGTTCGAGATTATGTCAGTCCTATAGCAACGTGCAATCTCGTGTGTGTGCGTTTGTATCTGTGTGTATATGCGTGTGCGTGTGCGTGTGCGTGTATGTGTTCCTGTATGTGTGTTTGTGTATGTGTTCCGGTGTATGTGTGTGTGCGTGCGTGCGTACGTGCGCGTGTTCTCAATCTTTCTGAATTATGTCGGTTCTCAGTTCCCCTGATAAACCATGTCGCAGTGCAAAATGGATGCTCAACAATAACGGTAATTCCGAAACTTTTGAACGTCTTAAACTATGACGCGACCAGATGATCTTTCCCTTCCGCCAGCTCTAGTATAGAACTCTCTGTGTATGGCGGATCAATATATGCAGATGAATAGTGCGAGACAATATTAAATATTTACCATACGTTAATCGATGGGTCACATCCAAAGACCGCTGAGGGAAGCTGCGAGCTGCCCAAGCAGTCCCTCCCAGCTAAAAATGCTGAAACAGATGATAACGGAGATGGTTGAACACAATTACGAACGAAACGATTGCGAGCTTTCATCATATTCACGTATTTCTTCAACATACTTAGTATAGAAAACGTTATAAATGGTGATGATGGTGATGATGGTGATGATGAAGATGACGTACAATCGGTACAGCTTCTCCAGTTACAGACATGTAAAGACAAACATCAGTACATATAGACAACGTTAAGGCATTCTGTACAACCATCAGTACACAATCTCCCCTTAAGCTACGTTAAGGCATTCTGTACAACCACCAGCACACAATCTCCCATTATACTGCGTTACGACATTATGTACAACCACCAGCACACAATCTCCCATTATACTGCGTTACGACATTATGTACAACCACCAGCACACAATCTCCCATTATACTGCGTTACGACATTATGTACAACCACCAACACACAATCTCCCATTATACTACGTTAAGGCAGCCTGTTCAAACATCAACAGACAATCTCCCATTATACTACGTTAAGGCAGTCTGTACAACCACCAGCAAACAATCTCCCATTATACTACGTTAAGGCAGCCTGTACAAACATCAACAGACAATCTCCCATTATACTACGTTAAGGCAGTATGTACAACCATCAGCAAACAATCTCACATTATTCTACGTTAAGGCATTCTGTACAACCATCAGTACTCAATCTCCAAGTATACTTCGTTAAGGCATTCTGTACTACCATCAGTATACAATCTCCCATTATACTACGTTAAGGCAACCTGTACAAACATCAACAGACAATCTCCCATTATACTACATTAAGGCAGTCTGTACAACCACCAGCATACAATCTCCCATTATACTACGTTAAATCAGTCTGTACAACCATCAGCATACAATTCCCCATTATACTACGTTAAGGCAGTCTGTACAAATATCAGTACACAAATCTCCCATTATACTACGTTAAGACATTCTGTACAACCACCAGCACACAATCTCCCATTATACTACATTAAGGCAACCTGTACAACCATCAACAGACAATCTCCCATTATACTACATTAAGGCAGTCTGTACAACCACCAGCATACAATCTCCCATTATACTACGTTCAATCAGTCTGTACAACCATCAGCATACAATTCCCCATTATACTACGTTAAGGCAGTCTGTACAAATATCAGTACACAAATCTCCCATTATACTACGTTAAGACATTCTGTACAACCACCAGCACACAATCTCCCATTATACTACTAAGGCAGTCTGTACACGGAACAATCCACAATCACCAATTACACTACGTTTAGGCATTCTGTACAACCATTAGTACACAATTCGCCACTGTAGTTCGTTAAGACATTCTGTACAACAATCAGTGCACAATGTCCCATTAAGGGAGTGTAAACATCCACAACCGTCGTGTTCACGATCCCCAATGACACTTCCATACAGATTTGACATACTGATCATTACAAAATTCCCAATGATCCATGTGGAGAGAGCCAAAGTTACCCTTAATGACACAGAAGAAGCTGCATAACGGCTGCCTTCATTATGCTTCTGTTTGTGCTGATAAACAACTGTTCTCCTTTGTTAAATATAATTGATACTATTCTAAGTTGTTCACTGGTCACGATGGGGGTATGGGTTGATGTCTCAGGGCTCAGGGAACATGAACAAACATAGAGGGTGCATCAACCCATGGGCCCCGAGGGACCAGTGAACAACGTATTTATCTTACCGAACACCCCAATGTTAAGTTTCAACTGTTTGAAGCACGGGAATTGGATCATATTAAGGAGTACCGGAGTTAGACAACAGCCCTAACACTATTAACACGAAGTACCAAACCAATTTCCAGCGGGTAACATAGAAAATGTTACTCGCTTGTAAGCGGGGTACATTGATTGGCTCAGCCAATCAGAAAACGACATTTATGTGTGAGGTAAGATAATGTAATTTGTGTGATGTTGATTTAATTTCATGCTCAGAGAACATAAATAGCATACCTGGGCTGTTCTGGCAAATGAAATCCCACGTCCTCTGAGAGGTTATTATGGGCAAGAAGAAGTCGTGGTTTCTACACTGACTGGCAGCGTTGATACAGTTCCAGTTCTCGTCCAGGTTTGACCTTACAAAAGCACCATGAGCAAGTGAGTGAGTGAGTGGGTATGTAGGTATTATTGAGACCCCATTGCATGTTACTATAAATAGTATCACTCAGTGCCAGAAGGTAACGCATTTATCGCCAAATGCAATTTTGAAGGTAGCTTATTTACCTGTACAAGCAAAGCATTTGTAGTACAACACTGTGCAAGTAAAGACAAGAAGCTGACGCATTTTCCCACCCAGAGGGTAACTCATTTAAGCTGTTCTATTTACATGTTATACCATAGAACGTGGCGTATTTACCACATACCACTACTGCGTATTACATAGAAGGAGAAGCATTTTCCTGAATACCACTATTCAGTATTCAGACCACATGTGTAATGGAATAGCTAAATGGCTAACATGGTTAATAGGGTTCGATTCCAGTGTCCGCTGCCATTAAATATTACTGCATGTTGCTAGAAGTTGAATAAAATAATACTCGCTCACCTGTGTACTACAGGCATTGTATAATAATAATAATAATAATAATAATAATAATGCCAGGAACACCCGAACCCTCTCTGCTGCATACAATTTTTAATCTGTAAATAATAATGTGTCCATTTATATAGCGCCAAACTCCACACTAGGTATGCTCATAGCGCTAACAATCAAGGCACAGCACATTATTACCCCGGATAACCCAAGCTGCCTGTTAGTCATATGACATTTTCCACCGGGTACCCATTTTCCTGCTGGGTGAACAGAGACAATTTTGAACAAACTCACTTGCCTAAGGTGAGACCACATGTGTCACATGTGCATCGTTGTGGGGCAGGACTCAAGTCCTTGAAACTCTCAAGAGTCAAGCTGCCAAACACGGTCACCCACCCAAGGACTCTCCGAGCTCGACGCTGCTTAACTTCACCGATTTGTGACCTGAGCTTTGAGCACAGGACCACGCGCCGGGTATACAGGCAATATCAGCTATGGCGACGTTTCGATATAGATTTTTATAGATAGCTTGAAAACGGTATAAGGATCTATACCAAAACGTCACCATTGTAAAATAAAGAAGTTGACCATCCATAAAGTTTTGTCATTTTTATACCACCAACTTCTAGAATGCTACTCCAAACAAAATTTCAGCTATCCTGCATAAAAACTTCAGCAAAATACAAAACTGAAAGGTTTCCTTGTTGAAGATGAACTAGTGGTAGACTAGTGGTAGACTCGTTTCCAGGTATGTAGGCTACATCGTGAACGTAGGCTACATGTTCAAACAGGATACATCACACCAGTTGGGCATACATTTTGCTCATGAAATCTGAAATGCTTCCAGGGTATGGCAAATGAACCGTTCCACGGACAGTTATAATACCCAGGGTTGTCGCAATTGCTTTACTAATGGGTAATGTTCGTTGATGTTCGAAAACAACCTTTAATAGGTGCTCGGATGAATTATCTGCTATTTTCATAAAGTTCTATGAAGCCACACAACTAAGAGGTTACTTACCCGCACGGAACAGCGAGCCTTCCATCCACTACGATCTGTTGTGGACCCTGCAAGGCAAGATAATGGCGGAGGTTATGCATGCAGGGACCGAGTCGCTCCATGCAAGGATCCTCTTCTGCTTGGAGGACACTGGAGGACACGTTCACCATGTTCTCATCAGGATTCTGACGACGCTGTGTCTTGTGGCCAGCATTGGGAAACAGAGCTAGAGGCAATAAAATAGCAAATTAGTTTAACCCGTTTTAAATAGTATTACGGTTTTATGAAATTTTCGCAGATTTACACCCCTTACCGACTAAAGTGCTTTTAAAGTTCTACACGGATACAACACATGTTACTTGTGTGCATAACGTTCACCTGATGAAAGAAAACATATATACTGGTCAAAACTTTGAAGTGAACCTGTCATTGAGAATGCAAGTGGGAATAGTTCTGCAATAAACTATAACGCCCTGGGTCGCCCCACCATAAGAGTTATAAATCTACATACAGTAGTTTGTGTTCATTTAGTATAGAACGTATCAAAGGACTCACCAAGTGAAAAACATATTGCTGGCAAATACAGAAGGAAGATCACTCGCCCAAACATTGTCAGCGACTTGTTCCCAGTGAATAACTGGTGTGGCCCTAACATGAAACATATATAGCGGATATTACTGGCAGTAATTGCCTCAACCCAGGAAGTTTATTAGGGCCAGTTTACTGAACGTCAAGGTACATTTTCGAAGGTCAACACTTCCGTGCCAGTAAGTGGGCATTTTAACCGTTTAACATCCAAAAGCATGGGTATTGTGCTGGTAAAAGAGGAAATACAGCAAGGTAATTGTGGGAAGTAAACCCATGGTTTGTGTGTGTACTTGTGGACAGCAGATGTTTATGTTCTTATAGACAGAAGTGTGTGTGTGTGTGTGTGTGTGTGTGTGTGTGTGTGTGTGTGTGTGTGTGTGTGTGTGTGTGTGTGTGTGTGTGTGTGTGTGTGTGTGTGTGTGTGTGTGTGTGTGTACATGTTAACAGGAGATGTGTGGGTGCGTCTGGGCATGAGATGTGTGTGTATAAATCAAACCTAGTTAACGCACGTGTAATGCAGTATTCAGTCGAGGGCAACAAGTGCAACAATAGAAATATACGGAGAGGCGAATTCTATTTTTATGGTGATATATATATATAATCTTTTTCTAGAACGCATTCAAAATATGAGCTTTTATTATGTACCTCAGGCTCTGTGTCTCATGCACGTATCGTGATATGTCCAAACGAGTTAGTTTTCGCCATGACAGACATGAAGGACAAATTACATATAAGCAGGACATGCTCCTCACTAGCATACGTATCGTCGACCCGTCACATTAACCAATATGTCAAGTCAATTTGTCATTCATTATTCTGAGGACCAAATTTCAAATTTGACCCGCCTCTTGATGTGGGCGTTGAGGCTCCTGTCAGTGTAGTGGTTGACAATTTAACTCTATATGTGTCTGGGAACCTCAAACATCGTCTCGTATTTAGCCTGGTAGATTTTACTCCCAAAGAATGTAGTTTGTGTTGGTTATTGTTTTTGGTTTTTTTGTGAAATGAAAAAGACCACCTCTTTGGGTTTTTTTGTTCAGCACATGGTCTTTACATATTATATGTATATGCCACTTGTATTAATCGAACGACTGACTGACAGACTGAGTTTGGTTTTACGCCGCTTTTAGCAATATTCCAGCAATATCACGGCGGGGGACACCAGAAATGGGCTTCACACATTGTACCCATGTGGGGATTCGAAGCCGGGTCTTCGGCGTGACGAGCCAACGCTTTAACCATTAGGCTACCCCACCGCCCCCATTAATCGAAGGAAGTCGTTGTACAGCTGTACACCCCTCAAGCATAACCTAAACCTATGATCACCGGGTTGTGATCATGTTTCTCAGCTTTTGAATTGCTGTGTAACGATGTACTCTTGGGAACAACAAAAACATTTTGAAAAAAGAGCGTTAAAAATACAATTATGAGTACCAAATTTCAAATATGTGGACGTTGATGTGGACGTTGAGGCTCCTGTCAGTGTAGTGGTTAACTGTTCCACTTTTCATGTGTCTGGGAATCTCTCGTATTTAGCCTCGTAGATTTTACTCTCAAAGAATGTAGCTCGATTAGATTAGAATCTTAATTTTTTTTTAGTGAAATGAAAAAGAACACCTCTTTGTTTTTTGTTCAGAACATGGTATTTACTTTATATATTTATGTGCCGCTGGCATTCATCTCCGGACGTCGCTGTGCAGCTTTGCACCCCTCAAGCATAACCTTAACCTATAATCATCGGGTTGTGATCATGTTTCTCTGCTTTTCAGCACATAGTCGTTCAAGTGGGCTTCACCAGAGTGACACACGTCGCACAGCATCACCACTATCTTCTTCATCAGTGTCACATTTCCTGTATATTTGAAGGGGCGGTGGGGTAGCCTAGTGGTTAAAGCGTTGGCTCGTCACGCCGAAGACCCGGGTTCGAATCCCCACATGGGTACAATGTGTGAAACCCATTGCTGGTGTCCCCCGCCGTGATATTGCTGGAATATTGCTAAAAGCGGCGTTAAACCAAACTCAGTCAGTCAGTCAGTATATTTGAAATAACGTATACACAATGCCTCTTTGGATAGATGGGGCGGTGGGGTAGCCTAGTGGTTAAAGCATTCGCTCGTCACGCCGAAGGCCCGGGTTCGATTCCGGAGGTAAATGCACGTGCAGTTCATGATAGTTACCTGTGCACTGCACAGTGATAGACCGTTTGGATCATTCACATTGACTACTTCTAGCTGTCATCATGAAAGCTTATTCAGATGATGCTAAACGTTTAATTAGAAATGTGATGAACCTTTTTAAAAAAGAGCAAACGTAGCAAACCGATTTATAAGGTGTCGGATTACATGAAACGTACATAGCTGACCTACATTGACGAACGTTGACCTTTATGACCCAACACTGCCGCTGTTACAGGTCATTGGCTCCCTCCCTCTGCAAGCTGTCTGCGTTCTGCTGTTTATTTTGTTGACAGTTACAGCGACAGATTCTTTAATACAAATGCATAAAATCGGTGATTTACAATGTGATTATGTTGTCTGACAAAACATCCACTTGCACAGTTTGAGATCGATTGGGTCATTGGATGAAGATATCTTTACAAAAAACCGGGTCCACATGGATTTCATGCCAAACTATACATGAGATTCATGCAGTTCTAATGTTGTTTACAGTGTTTGTTTAATTCCCGTTTTGCTATCGGTTCTTCGAGTTTTGTTCTAGCCAAAACCCCAGATTCATTTAAAAAAATTGGAAAAATAATTACTTACGGTTTTTGGTAATTTCGCTTCGCAGATTTACGTCCCTTACCAATGAAAGGGGTTCCAATTACAGATTGACTCTAATTTGGAGCTTGTTTTCAGTGAGTGAAGTAACGAATTCAGTGAGTTGAATCACTGGTACAATACGTTGGCATTATTTTCACCTGATGAAAGTACAATACGTCTGCATAGTTCAGCATTTAACTGATCACGCCATGGGTTGCCCTACTATAAGAGTTATAAATGGATGTCTAAAATCTACATACAACAGTTGGCGATCATTTAGTACAAAGATTAAGAAAACAATGAACTTACAAATCTCAAAATACTTAACAATGCACTCACCAAATGAAGAAAACATATTGCTGGCTGACTTAGCAGAAAGGAATAATTCACTCTCATAACTCCCCACCCTTCATGGAGTTTATCCAAGGACGATGCCCGGCGTTTCTAGATCTCCAACAGAGGACACTACTGATACCAGAATGGTATAATCAAGCAGAAATATCTTGTAATAATTTATCCTGCGAGACTTGACCATGAGTTGCCTATTACTGGCATAGGACTTCAGGTAGATCATTAATACATAAGCTGTCCTTTCAGCAAAGTGATTAATTAGGTACAAATTAAGCGCTTTTTCGGGAGGGACGCACTCGGTATTCGACCTCGCACTCTAACCCACTCACCCACCAAAGCTCCCATAACAAAGGAAATCTAGATCACTTAGTTTGTTGTATCCCTCCTGCACGTGTAACCTAATAAGGCTCCATTACCGATACTAATGTATACACAATACCTATTAGAAAGGCATATGTAACAAATGCTATTTAAGGGATCCTACGTTACTAATACAGGTTTACATTTTGGTTTCTGTCTACAGCCGATGGTATCTGTCTCGGCACATATTGGAGACCTAATATCCTCTCGTATTGGCCATTTGAAATCAATTTACTAGCTGAAGAGAAACCACCAGATCACAAACTACACCCTGGCAACAAAAGTCAACAAATGTCATTAATAATGAGTTTATGAGTACCTCCATTTACTGTATTTACAAGATTTATTATCCCGACATCCAGACTCAGTTTTTGCCAGAAAGCACGTTCAATTCGATACTTGAATATAGTAATTGCATAAAAGCTTGAATGTCATCCTCTTTTTCAAAATTAATTTATCATGATGTGTCTAGGTCAAGTGGAGACACGGTGGTTGTATAATTCACAGTTGCTGAAATCTGCTCAGCTAAAATGAATGTAGGCACAGTTTAACGCAGAGACTCAAGTGTCAAACATTATCCAATTATTATCTGGATGAACACCTACAATAATTTAAAATGCTTTTGCGTATAAAGATATTGCAGAACAAATTTTTAAAAAATGGTTCTGGTGTTGTCAATTTACAATGAACACTTATCAATTCCTGCATACTCAATCTTAAACTAAGAAGCATTCAGTATTTGGCTCTACCCTTTTGTAATGGTTACATTCTAATTTCACATCGTCAAGGGAGAGGGTCAGGTGTTATCTTCGTTAAATAAGTACGTCAGCATATCCATTTGATTTATCAAAAGTGGTAAATGTAAAAGTTGCCTGTTTGAAATCGCAGCTTTAAATGAGACGGGTTTTACATTTGCTGAAGGGGTCAAGCTACAGGCCTTTTGAATCCTTAACACAATATATTTGGGATTACACTTTCTTAGTAAAGTACAGATTCTAAATATAACATATGTTACATCTGACCACTGTCTAAAATGGCATTGTGTACTTTAAAATCTGTTCAAACTGAGCGGCAGGCTGCTGTCAGCTTTAAAGTGCGTCAGAGTGCTATTGGTAAACTGTGGCAGAGATTTCAAGCCAATGGGTCCGTGGAATATGCACGTCAACCAGGTTGCCCCAGAATCACAACATTCCGAGATGACAGGCACATGGTAAACACTCGGTTACGTTGCAGATTCCTTAACGCAGCAGATCTTGAGACAGAACAATGTTAACAATGTAAGGATATCCAGGAGCACCGTTCGTCGACGTTTAAGGGCAGCCCCACTCCGCTGTAGGCGACCTGTAGTTCGTCCACCACTAACACCACGTCACAGGCAGGCGCGTTTGAGATGGAATAGACATCATGGCCGCTGGAATCAACGTCAATGGTCTCGTGTGCTCTTCACAGATGAAAGCAGATTCAGTTTGTCCTTCCATGAGGGTCGATATAGGATTTATCGTCGCAATGGAGAACGAATCACAGATGCATAACCGATTTGGCGGGGGTCGGTCATGGCGGCTCATTCCCACTTACCCAACTTGCTGGGGGATTAAAAGAGATTAACAGTTACGGGTCAGTGATTGTGCAGGGTGAATTTGTTACCCCTGCTTTGGATGTGATTTAAGTTCACCCAGCACTCCAATCATGGCCAAACAGAGTAATCTCATGACCACCGGTGAACATAGATAAACTATGTGAAAAATATATATTCATATCGTTTGTTATAAATTGAATTTTAATTGAGTGAACTATGCCAATGACAAGTATTATAAAGTATGGAGATTTTCTTGTTTCTCCATTGCACTATGGCAAACGTTCAAGTAAACATTTCATTCCCAATGGACGCGGCGGTCAGTACTTTGTCTACAGGTGCGGTAAGCTCTGTATCAAGAACTGGAGGGTGATCATGGCCGTGAAATGTGGAACCATTTCAGAACGGTTCTACAGAAAAGAAACGGTGCCAGATCTCCACCTAGGAAGAGAAGATACATGTATGTTGAACTGAACCATGCCTTGGAAATGTACAAGAGAGAACTAACATCTGGTGCCAGAACTGTCATGTCATACATTGACTCAGTATCACATTTAACTGGATATAAGTGTGAAAGGTGTGCTGCGAAATATTGATGTAATATGTGATATGATGTAGATCTTGCATTAAGTTGTTTAACTGGATAACTTGTATATATGATTAATAAATATAGACAAACATTCAGTCAAAAGTAGTAGTATTTTATCCCATTTGGTCCCGGATACTATTTCACAGGGAATAAAATAAGGGATTAAAGGGGATTATCACACCCCAGAGATTTCTTCTACTGAAACAATAGGTGTTGGGTAAGTGGGAAGACACCGTCATGGTTTGGGCAGGGATAACTCCTACTGGACGTACTCCACTGCACGAGGTCGACGGTAATCTTACCGAACAGCGTTATCGGGACGCGATTCTGGCTCCTATAGCAGTACCATTCCTGCAAGCTGTGCATGGCTTTTGTGGTCGACCCTATTTACTGCACGACGACAACGCTAGGCCTTATATGGCCAGGATTGTCAGGGAATTCCTTAGGAAGAAGGGTGTACAGCGGATGGAGTGGTCAGCATGCTCAGTAAGCTTTCTTTATGAACTTGATAAGGAGCATGATAACAAGGTTCACCTGTGTTTTGGTCGCGCGAGGAGGGTACACAGGATATTGAATGACCGAGTGCTTCATGTTTGTCATTTTCATTTTGAGGGGCTGGTCTATACAACTGATGTTTGCTAGTGCTGTTTGAACTTTCTGTCTGTATGTCACGATGTGTTCCGTTTAGCAACACATTAAACTGATACTATTAGTTCTATTATTTCTGTTTCCTGTTCCGGCTAAGAGGGTAGAAGATGTATGAACCCCAACTCAAAAACTAGATTTGACACACATTAATTTAGAAATGCCTCTATTAAACAGAGTGCGTCTACACCAACAGAGGCAAGGAAGGTACACAGGACCAGGACTTATTGACATAAACGTTATTAGAACCTGTTGTTGTGTAATCTATTTATTTCTGTTATATCAAGCATTTCTAGTTTTGTGTATAATGTTTGTTTTTCTGTTATATGTCTAAAACTTCATCAGAAAAGGAATTCGTCAGAATGTTTGCAACAAAAATAAAACTCCGATCCTGAACATTCTAATGGCTTTATTCCACAGAGTTCCAATGGGGATGATCGTTTTCTTGTAAGTGCAGGTAGCATCTAAAGATTTCATGGTCGGTCACTTTGTGAACGTTGGAACACATGGAGAATTCCATGGCCATTTCCTTACACAGAGAGATGCGTGAACTGAGTCTAGCATGATGAATCTTGCATTGACGCTCTCATAATAGCTGCCAGGCGCCGCAAGAGGTTGGCGTCGTCTGCGGAGCAATCAGGTATCTTCGCCACCCCTTGTTGGACGCAGGTAGGTATGCTGACAAACATACAGGTTAAAGAAATGTAATAGCAAATAGAGCGTCATACAGACCAATATATCCAAGAATTCCCAAGCAAGTCTAGAATATGTAGCAGTCTTATTCTGAAAATGAAGAAAGTTTCTGGGCTCCTTTTCACCATATTGGCATTCTAGAAGTTGAGGAGATGACGAATGGGTACAATTTTATGGATATACAAGTGGAGAACGATATTAGAATTTATGTCGAAACGTTGCCTGTGCAGAATAAAGAAGTTGTATATCCATAAAATTGTCCTTATTCTTCACTATAGGTTATATTTCTAATTTATTAACCGTATGTTTCAGCAAAACATGTTCTTTTCAGAGATAAGATGTTAGCCTAGTTAGTAAAAATCCATATTACATGTTAGAGAGAGAGAGAGAAAGAGAGAGAAAGCGAGAAAGAGACAGAGAGAGCGAGAGAGAGCGAAAGAGACAGAGAGAGAGCGAGAGAGAGAGGGAGTGAGAGAGGGAGAGGGAGAGAGAGATTTGCTAAACTATTGGCAGATGGACAGAGTCTGCTAACCACGCTTCACGGTTCCGCATCGCTTGCAATTGATTTTTCAATTGAGACATACCGAATATTTTAACTTCATATAAGCTTGATTAGTGTTGAAAAACATCTATCTTAATGAAGGCTTTCATCGTCCCATATATATTTTGTAAGCATAAATATATCGTCAACGCCAGAGAATAATCTTGTCGACTTTTCGACATAAAGTTCCAATGGGCGTAAGGGACAAAACAGCGATGAAAATTGCATGCATTCATGTGTGAATAAAATATTTGAACTACTCTCTCTTGGAAAACATGACTTTGTTCGTACCCTAATGAACGCCATACGCACTGTCATACTTCTTGTCCAAAACTTCGTGAGTCTTGTAAACTATTTTTAAATGACCGAAAGAGCTGTATTATTCTAAAACTATTAACTTCCTCGTTGAAAGTATCTGTTTCAAGCTAACCTAACTTGGTTATTTGTATGTTTTAGTGAAGATAAAGAAGCTGTTATACTACCACATCTTTTGTAACCTTTTCAACCTTGTCAACCAAATTAATCATTTTGACCTTATATATAGGTGTCCTATCACCTTCAGTCGTTGATGTGTATACAATGAGATGTGTAAAATGAGATGAAATGGGGTTTTATGAGGCTTCGAGATTGCTTCACTTCTATAGCGACGCACAAACACGTGTGTGTGTGCGTGCGTGTGTGTGCGTGCATCTGCGATCGTATCTGCGTGTGTGCGTATGCGTGTTCATGTTTGATTGTTCTATTCTGAATTATGTCGGTTCTCAAACCCGCTGATAAACCCTGACGCAGTATAAAATGGATTCTCAACAATAACGGAAATTCCGTGTTGACCAGTTCCTATTTTATCCGAAAATGGCGATCACCAGGCGGAGCAAAACCTACAACTTTTGAACGTCTTTTTGTAGGACAATACCAGGTGATCTTCCCCTTCCGGCGTCTCTGGCATAGAACATTATGTGTATGACGTATCAATATATGCAGGTGTATAGTGTGAAGCAATGTGAAGTATTTACCATATGTCATCCAAAGAAGGGTTGCACCCATAGACCGCTGAGGGAAGCTCCGAGCTGCCCAAGCAGTCCCTCCCCGCTAGAAATGCTGAAACAGTTGAAGGCGGAGATGGTTGAAAACAATTACGAAAGAAACGATTGCGAGCTTCTTTCGTATTCACGTATCTATTCAACATACTTAGTGAAGAAAATATTATAAATGATGATGATGATGATTATGATGATGAAGATGACGTACAATCGGTACATCATTTCCGATTACACACATGAAGACATTCTATCAAACTATCATTGCACAATATGTACAACCATCAGTACACAATCTCCCATTATGCTACGTGAAGGCATTCTGTACAACAATCAGTACACAATCTCCACTTAAGCTAGGTTAAAGCATTCTGTACAACCATCAGTACACCATCCCCCATTACACTACGTTTAGACATTCTGTCCATCAGCATTACTCCCATTACGTTTAGACATTCTGTACAACCATCAGCATACAATCACCAATTACAACCATCAGTACACAATCTCTCATTATACTACGTTAAGACATTCTGTACAACCATCAGCACACAATCTCCCATTATACTACGTTAAGACATTCTGTACAACCATCAGCATACAATCACCAATTACACTACGTTAAGGCAACCACAACCATCGATCCTCACTGACACTTCTGTACAGATTTGACATACTCATCATTACAAAATACCCAATGATCCAAGTAGAGAGAGACAAACTTGCCCTTACTGACACAGAAGAAGCTGCATAACGACCGCCTGCACCATGTTCCTGTTTGTGCTTATAAACAACCGGTCCCCTTTCTTAAATATAATTGGTACTATTGTAATTTGTGTGATGTGTATTTAATTTAATGCTTAGAGAATAAAAATAGCATACCTTGGCTGTTCTGGCAAATGAAATCCCACGTCCTCTGAGACGTTAGTAAAGCCGTGTAGAAGTCGTAATCACTACATTGACGGGCAGAGTTGAGACAGGTCCGGCTTTCCTCCAGGAGGTTTGACCTTACAAGAACCACCATGACCGAGTGAGTGAGTGGGTATTTGGGTTTTAGTGAGAACCCATTGTTTGATACCATTAAATAGTATCAGAAGGTAAATTTATTTATTTGTACACTACCAAATGTAATATTGAAGGTAATTCATTTACCTGTACAGGTAAGGCATTTGTAGTACAACACTGTCCCAATACAAATAAGAAGCTCCAACACAAAGGGTAACTCATTTAATCTATTCTATTTACCTGTTGAACCACAGAACATGACGTATTTACCCGTATACCGCTACTGCATATTACATTGAATGTGAAACATTTACCTGAATACCACTATGCAGCATTCAGACGCCATGTCCGTACATGTGTAAGAAGCAATGGAATAGCTAATTGGTTAACATGGTTAATAGGGTTCGATTCCAATATCCGCTGTCATTTAATATTACTGCAATATTTTAAAAGTTGAATAAAATAATACTCGCTCAACTATGTACTACAGGCATTGCATACCGGCAATATCAGCTATGCTGCATAAAAACGTATTACTAAGGACGTATTACTAGTGGTAGACTCGTCTCGAGGTATGTAGGCTACATCGTGTACATAGGCTTCATTTAGAAAAAATGGGATACATCACACCAGTTAACAACGAATTTGTCTTACGGGCATACGTTTTGCTTATGAAACCTGAATTTTTCAACGGTATGGCACATGAAGCGTTCAACGGACAGTTATAATACACAGGGTTGGTGCAATTGCTTTACTAATGGGTTTGTTCGTTGATGTTCGCAAAACAACCTTTAATATGAGCTCGGATGAAATATCTGCTATTTTCATAACTATGGAGCCACACAACTAAGAGGTTACTTACTCGCACGGTACAGCGAGCCTCCCATCCACAACAATCTGTTGTATACTCTGCAAGGCAAGATAATGGCGGAGCTTATGCATGCAGGGACTGAACAACTCCAAGCAAGGATCGTCTTCTCCTTGACTGGAGGACACGTTCACCATGTTCTCTTCGGGATTTTGACGACGTTGTGTCTCGTGTCATTTGGAAACAGAGCTAATAACAACAAGATAGTAATTTAGTTCAGCCCTGTTTAAAGAATACGGTTTTATGAAATTTCGCTCCTCAGATTTATGACCCTTTCCCATGGAAGGAATCGGCAATCTTGGAGATTGACTGACTAAAGTGCTACTATAGTCCTACACGTATAGAATACCTGTTACTTGACGTGTACATAATGTTCCTCTGTAAAATACTTTTCAAAACACGTCATTAAGAATACAACTGTCTGAATGGGAGGGAATAGTACTGCAATAAACTGATGGCGCCTCATGTCGCCCTAAAATAAGAGTCATAAAGAAGTAGCTAAAATCTATAGGCAGTAGTTTCTGGTCATATACTATATAGACTGAGAAACCAATAAACGTAACAATGGACTCACCAAGTGAAAAACATATTGCTGGCAAATACAAAAGGAAGGCCACTCGTGCAAACATCGTCAACGACTTGTTCCCAGTGAATAACTGGCGTGGCTCTAACTTGAAACATATATAGCGGATATTAATCTCAGTAACTGCTGTAATCCTCTAAATATATCAGTGAGTGACCAGGAGAGTCGTAAGGTCATGGTCTGCAATTACGCTTTCGACGGTCAACACTTCTGTCGCAGCTAGTGGACATTTGTACATTTAGTATTTGGGAAACATCCACACTCATGGTCATTGTACTAGTAAAGTGTGGGAAGGCAGGAGATGTGTGTAGGTGTAGACATATATGTGTATGTACTCGTTGACAGGAGATATGCGTGTTACGAGTGAGTGATTGTGGATTTACGTGGCTTTCAACAAAGTTCCAGCGATATCCCGCAAGAGGAGTTATATTTTTCATACATCCACTCTGGATACTGAAGTTTACATTTATGCAAGTCAATTGTCTGTTAGTCCACCGTTTCTCTAGATGCACTGCTGAATACGGCGTCCCATGCTGTCAATCAAATTGTCGATGTAGTCCTGGGGTAGGTCCACCCATGTTTGACTGGTGAGGTTAGACCACTCAACGACACTCTTCGTTTCCAAATTTTCTAATTTGTCCTTCATAATCTACCACACATTTTCAATTCAGTTCAGGTCTGGTGATGCCGCTGGAAATTTCTGTAAGGTCACGTGACTCGTTTCAAACCAGTTACAGGTGTGTCTTGACTTATGTACAGGTGCATTGTCTTGTAAAAGTTTGAAAGGTATTCCACTCTGTCCTATATGGGATTCCACTATGCCTTCTTGTATAAGTTGACAGTACTTGCTTGAATCCATCCGAGTTACCCCGAGTTTGCCTATACCACCCCAAACCATGACACTGGGTGAGAACTTAGGAACCATTTTGCAGCTACGTCCACCTCTTGACCACCTCTTTCTTGTGATCCTATAAAACTGAAACTTTAATTCGTCCGTAAAAATCACATTTGAAAAGTCTGTACCCTGCATATCCCTGCACCACTCGAGCCTTTTCTCCATATGTGCTGTTGTCATCAATGGAACTTCCTTCGACACTCGCTTGACATATCCAGATTGCTTTAAAGATCTTCTGATTGTCCATTCTGATACCTTAGGGGTTCCTTGACTTGACGCCTTCACGGCAAGCTGTTTTGCAGACCAGTTTCAGTACGCCGCCGCGAGACGCGCGATACGTCGTCTGTCATTTGCCCAAAGAGTAGCACGACGTCCCGATCCAGCCTGTCGCTCTGTCCCTAACCCTGCGTCAAATTTCTTCAAATTTCGGTAAACAGAGGCCCGATGCAGTCCCGTCAGTTTCACAAGTCTAGTTACGGATGTAATGCCTGCTTCATAATGTGCCAAGAGTCGATTTCTGTTGTTTTGTAACGTCATAGCAAAGCTTCGGTATCGTCTGCTAGCAACGAGGTCACGTGATCAAGCCATCCCTGAACCCAAGGGAGATAATTCCATACCAACGAGGCAAGCTACTGGCGGCTAGAAACAATGTATTTTGGCTTTTTTGATAGTAGGATCGAGTCTACAGAATAAAGTTTTTTGTCGCATTTTTTCTGCTCGTTACTATGTGTGTGTACAGGGGATGTGAGTAAACAGGAGATACGTATGTGTTCATGAAGACAGGAGATACACTACTGCCTAAAAGTTCATTCCCCTTGAACGCGTTGAGAACGCGTGTAACACGCATGTGACACGAGTGTGCAACGCGTTTGAGTCCAGTGTCACACGGGTATGCAACGGGTGTGCAACGCGTTTGAGTCCAGTGTCACACGGGTGTGCAACGCGTGTGTAACGAGACACACACACGTGTACTACCCGTGTAACACAGGACCAAGTTTCAGTTGAATTTGGCGAAAAGCGTTAGGGTTGCAAACATAGAATTGTATGATATTTTAATTCGGAAATTTGCCAGAGTGCATCACCACCTGTACTCCTTATGACCATAGCTGTTTGTACAGTACTCGCTCTTGAAAGATGATTGGTGTATGACGTGCAATGTACATGTATACGATTTTTATTTTCAAACAAAAAATCCTGACGAGAAACAAACAATTACAACAGTGTGATGGACGATGATTGTCAAAATTAATGGTCTGCAATGACTTATCGACGTTCTTGAAAACTGTCAAAATCAAGAATGTCATCCCATGCACGTGTATGCGATGACTGAGTTGTGCACGTGCATCTCATGCATTGTGTTTAGGAGTAGTGATAAAGAGAAAAGGTGATGCGTTCATAAAATGTCTGTCTTTGAAAAGTTTGTTAAGGCTTATACTTCCTGTACAAATTGAAAGTTCAGGTTCCCCTACTTATTTTAAGAAACAATATTTGTATAACCCATTTAAAATATGAGCCTTTAATTAATTGTTTGCCACGAAGGCAGGACACAGGCTTTGTGCCTCATAGACATATCGTAACATGCCATGGTCATTTGAGTTAAGTGGCTATTTTTCTGCCAGAGATGATTGCACCTAAAGGTCAAACTACCCATTCACAGGGAGTGGTCTCAACAGCACATGTATCATCAACCTGCCAAGTTGTCATGCATTATTTTGAAATCATCTGTAAGGAAAAACTGAGAATCTACAACTTCATTGTGTGCCTCGATATCAGGTCGCAGGATGTGTGTCTCAGGCGCATAGCGAGTCATGTTCATGTCAGTTAAGTGACTTTCAACCGTTGCTCTTTGAATTAACCGAATTTTATTTTGTGCGCTTTGAGCATGCTTAAGCATGGATATCTGCGCGGTACAGATATGCTATTATTATCGTTATTATTACTACTTATATTTAGCCATAAAAGATATAATTGCATCTGGAGGCCACACTGCACATTCACAAGAGATGTTCCCTTACAAGCATATGTATCGTTGACCTGTCACATTTACCAATTATGTGAAGACAGTTTGTCATTCATTATTCTGGAATGATCTACAAGACCAAAGTAAGAACGTTAAAGTAAAATTATGAGGTCCAAATTTCATATATGACGCGCCTCTTGATATGGCTCCTGTCAATGTAGTGGTTGACAACTTGCTCTAGTCCTAATGGTTAAAGCGTTTGTCACTGCCGAACCTCGAACATCATCTCAATGTAGACTTTTCTGTCCCCGCCGAATGTTGCTGGAATAGATCAAACTTGCTCTAGTCTAGTAACACGCTTCTTTATCATTTTGTTTGTGAAATAAAAAAGACCACCTCTTTGTGTCTTGTTCAGAACATGTTATTTACCCTTTATAACTATATGTGCCACTGGCATTAATCGCCGGAAACAGCATTGCTTTCCTTAAAGTGATGCTGATCCTGAGCAATTCCTCGGAACTGGTTGTTGCTTTTGTTATTGTATAAAAATTACAAATATGAAAATTAAAACAGACTAAACTTGCAGCAATAATATCGGAATATTACCTTGTTCGAAGAATGAATTATCAATATTCCTATAAAGGAATGACATGCCATTCATCTGCAGCTGACAAAGGAACCTGTTCCATGGCATGTGTGATAGTCCTTTAACTGTAATATGCAAAAAATAAAATCATATAACGTTATAACTAGTGATAGTTTCTCAGCTGTTCACGTGACTGTTTCCGGTTTTTCACTGGTCCTGACAACTAATTGCATGATGTCAACAATTCCTTAAGAAATGAATGAACAATCAATCAAATGGCGGTTAATCTTTTAAGGAGGTAGGTGTATGCTGTGTAGGTTAGTAAATCTACATTCATAAACACTACTTTTGACAAATCCACTGTGCAAGATAAAAGTAATTAATTATAAGCGTGTTATCGGTTAATCCTTTGATCGATGACTCAGCTGATAATTTCTCTTGATGCACTTCCATGTGGATAAATAACATGTAATACATTTGCCACATCAGACCTTTATTTATAATGTTGAATACATGTATTTATTACAGACACGAGAAATTACAAATGGGAACCTTCTTCTGGTAATCTGAGTTGTGTTACCACTAGTTATACCTGTTACAACTTCATTAACTCATCACCAAGTGATGATTTATACCACCAAACGTGGGTTACAACAAGGAAGTAGTAATCACTGTATTGCATGCAATTTTCATTGCCTAAAGAAGTTAGGGGTCGACACTGTTTTGAGGATACGAACGGTATTTCATTGTCGCATAAGAAATATATATAAGCATATGCATTACCTGTGTACTAAAGTTAGAAACTGTATATACCTATTAACCTCAGTATATTTTCAGATTTGTCTAGTAGTGGTAAAGCGGGTTGTTTAGTTTACGGATTCAAACGAATCAGATGAGTGTTTTAATATCATGTATTATAGACATAAGAGCATTACATGACATGATTAAATATCAAGGTAAAAAACACAGAAATAGGATCATATTGGATTAGTCATCCTACTATCCACGCATTAGAAAGTCCGCATTAAAAGCCTGCACTGCTGGGATACTTTATTACAATCAGACAAAACTACCTGGGATATTTTCAAATAACGGCATCTGATGGGTACCCATCGTTCTTACTGTCCCATTGTTGAGGTTGAAGAAATTCTGGCAAGGTTTACATTAGCCCAGCCCTCGTGTCCGTCACGGTCGAGAGGGCAGGGACTGACTACCTTGCAGCGAGGATTCGAAATTAGATTGTTAGGCCGAAACATTGATCGCTCTGGATCAGTGACTACTGTATGATCAAACCATGTTTCTCATGTTTCTCAGCTTGTCAGCACATAGTGGGCTTCACCAGAGTGACACACGTCGCACAGCATCATCGCTATCTTCTTCATCAGTGTCACATTTCCTGTATATTTGAAATAACGTATACACTATGCCTTTTTGAAAGTGATTAAGTAAAGTAGTGAGGTACAAATTAGGTGCATTTTGGGACTCATTCGAGATTCGAACTCGCACTTTTACACAGTCACTGATTTAACTAACTCATCCATCGAGGCTCACCAACAACAAACACGTTTCCCAGGATTGAAAATGACGAATACACAATGTCGTTTTGAAAGTGGTCATATGTGACAAATGTTATTTGTTGGATTACAGGTTTTCAGTAAAAGCCAAATCGTGGTTTCCGTTTACATCCTAATATATCTATATCAGCATATATTGGAGACCTAATATTCTCTGGTATCTCCCTTTTGAAATAGATTTACTCGCTGAATGAAGAGAAACCCTCAGATCATCAACTACATAAACGACGTACTGGCTGTGATGAGTAATAATGACTTTATTAAACACAATTAGTAAATACCAACAGGAACAAGCAGGGTACAATAACAACGCCTATTGAAAGAAACGTAGTTGAAGGCTTCAAGTTTGTGTAATGCAATCAATTAATTTCAGAAAGAAATGTCTACAGGAGATGTTATGTTGTCAGTTGTTCGGGTTATTTCTAGTTAAATAGAAAAGTAATTATAATGAAAGTTGGATCCATGACCTAAAAAGTCCAATGCGTTTATTCCACGGATTTTGTTTTCGTTTTCTTGAGTGCAGGTAACATCTAAGGACTATGGTCGGTGTTGGAAATTTTTCGTTAAACCTTGCGGCGATTTGATGGCCATTGCTTGAACTGAATCTAGCAAGGATCTACTCTTTCAGCCAGTTGACCCAAGAGGTTGGCTTCTTCTGTTGAGCAGTCAGGTATCTCCGCCACCAGCGTTTCTATGCAGGTCGGCAGACTAACAAAGAAACATGTCAGTCAGGAAAACTCTGGATTACTGAGAGACTGAGAGATGGAACTTCTGAAGTTGTCAGACTGAAGTGACAATTTGTTATGTAGTATTGCATTTTACAAATACACGTATAAGTATGAGATAAAAATATAATAGCTACCATATGATATACTGGACATACGGACCGGTGCACTCACGGATTGTTGGCGTGAGGTGCGAGCTTCTCCAGCAGACCTCCCCCGATACAAATGCTGAAATGGTTGAAAACAATTACCGACGAAATATTGGCGAGCGTTTATCGTTTTCACATACATCATATAGTAAACATGATAACCGGTAAGAATATTTGTTGAGAATATCGTCTATATAATCAAACCGAAAACTAACCTATCTCTGTGTCAGTACATACATTCATAACTTTTCATGACAGTTATAATAGTGTTGACACTGTTATTTTACTGACAAGTCAAGCTCCTAAAAGTGCCTAAAGTAGTGTCGTTTCTCATTACTCGAAAGAACGGAGAGTTTATATAACTATCACCAACACAAATTCACATGACACCAAGTAAAGGTATTTACTATATTCTGGTATATAATCTCCCATGACACCAAAGAAAAGATCTCCACTTTTAAACCTCTAATATATAAACTCACATGACACCAAAGTAAAGATCTCTACTTTTTAACCGATAATATATGATCTCCCTTGACAACCAAGAGATTTACATGAACGCTGTACACGATCTCCTATGACACCTAAAGAGATTTACTTAACCCTCTCTAAACAAGCTCCCATGAAACCCGTATAGAAACGTATCTAGAGAATCATCACACACGCAATTCTCTGTTCATATTATTAACCAACGGATTTCTTTTGTTAAATAGAACTGGAAGCATGTACGTTACTGTATCTGTTAGGGGTGACTATCGAGGCGGAAACAGCTATTGCGATATTGTAACATACTATTGCGATAGCGATAGCCTATTGCGATCAACTATTGCAACATACTATTGCAATAGTTGTTTTTTTCTCCTTGACTTGTCTCATTTGAAGTCATTTCCCAAATAAATGTATAGTTTGAATAAAATAAAAACAAGTTGAAGTAGTTTCAGCCTCAATGAAGCTACAAGTCTGCACCCAAATATTCTTTATTTTGCGCTATGCATTTATCAACGGAAGTTAATTACTAAACTATCGATAGTCACACATACTATCGATGTACCGATAGTTTTTCGGTTCTACAATTCTAATTCTCGGTTAATTGCTATCGGAGACTCAACAATTGCAATGCATCGATAGTTCAATGCATCGTTACAGCCTTAGTATCTGTACCTTGGCTATTCTGGCAAATGAAATCCCACAACGTCTGGGACGTCTGCATCTCCCGTAGAAATCCTGGTTCCTACATTGACTGGCAGCGTCAATACAGTTCTGGCTTCCCTCCAGGAGGTTTGACCTGACACAAACATTCACCAGTACACGAGTGAGTATGTGAGTAAGTGGGTGAGTGGGTGGAGTTTGGATGGAACGTGAGGTAGTGATAGATTCCATTACACCATAAAACGCATTTCCCTGTCCACTACCAGATGTAATATTGAAATTAGTACCTGACATCTCGATAACTATAAATCACACAACTAATAGCTTACTTACTCGCACGGTACAGCAAGTCTCCCATCAACAACGATGTCTTTTGGACCATGCACGGAAAACATATGGCGGAGGTTATGAATGCAGGGGCTGAACAGCTCCATGCAAGAATCCTCTTCTCCTTGACTGGAGGACACGTTCACCATATTCTCCCCAGGATTCTGACGACGCTGTGTCTCGTGGCCAGCATTGGGAAACAGAGCTAGAGACAGATAGTAATTTAGCTAAACCCGATTTAGATATGACTTCTTTGATCGGCATTCTATAAGTTGGGTAGCTTCAAGTAGTTTTCGGGTTTTAAAATCAGGCTGGTTCCTTTCGATGGCTTTGGTGGTGTTCCAACTGATGTTGTGGTTTGGGTTGGCTTTAAGGTGATGTTTCAAGACTCAAACAGCAAGCCAACATTGATGTCATCTTCCAAAGAATCAACACTATACAGAACCTCCTGCAGGCCACAGGCAGACCCGCCCCGGCAAAGAAGCCAGATCTCGCAGGTGTCGTCTACCAGGTAAAATGCGACTGCGGCGAATCCTATATTGGTGAAACATCAAGACCAGTCACCACTAGGATCAAAGAACACCAGGCCTCAGTAAGAAACAAAGACTCTAAATCCGCCTTAACGACCACCTTAAAGCCAACCCAAACCACAACATCAGTTGGAACACCACCAAAGTCATCGAAAGGAACCAGCCTGATTTCAAAACCCGAAAACTACTTGAAGCTGTCCACATAAAACAGATTTGCCCAGCCATCAACAGAGATGAAGGATATTTCATCCCCAAGGCCTATCATCACTTGCTCAATTAATTTCATGTAATCCTACTCAACCATTGTACATTATCCATTGTGTAACACTGTACATTATCCATTGTGTAAACATCACTTCACCACTGGCTTCCCAACAGTCCCTTTATCACTTATGTAAACAACCTATGTACACCATTCCCTACTGGCTGCCCATCAACATCCTTAATCTCTTATGTATACAACTATGTACATGTTCTTTACTGGCTTCCCATCAACCTACTTAATCCTGCATTATCAACCTCTTCTATTGTATAGGGGCGGTGGGGTAGCCTAATGGTTAAAGCGTTGGCTCGTCGTCACGCCGAAGACCCGGGTTCGAATCCCGACATGGGCACAATGTGTGAAGCCCATTTCTGGTGTCCCCCGCCGTGATGTTGCTGGAATATTGCTAAAATCGGCGTAAAACCAAACTCAGTCAGTCAGTCTTCTATTGTATAAACAACTCATTTTCTCCTCATCCTCATCTATTGTACAAACATGTCATGTATATATATCACCCAAATTACCTCCCATGTACCACTTACTTGACAACGACATTAGAATCTATGTCGAAACGTCGCTTATATAGAATAAAGAAGCTGTATATCCATAAAATTAGTCCTCATTCTCCGATTTAGATACCCGTTCTATGAAATTTCGCTTCGCAGATTTACGCCCCTTGCCCTGGTGGGCTCGAAGTCACTCTGACTAAAGTGCTACTAATTACCTACCTGTTACACTACTTGTTACCTGTGCATAATGCTACCTGATGAAAGTAAGATACTTTTCAAAACATTGCAGTGAACCTGTCATTGCGAATGCAACTGGGAATAGTTCTGCAATAAACTGAAGGCGCCCCAGGACGCCCTACCATAAGATATGTAGATATGAATCTATAGACAGTAGTTTCAGATCATATGGTGTATATATAATACGAAAATAATGAAAGTAACAAAGGACTCACCAAATGAAAAACATATTGCTGGCAAATACAGAAGAAAGATCACTGGCCCAAACATCATCGGCGACTTGTTCCCAGTGAAAAACTAGTGTGGCGCTAACACGAAACATATATAGCGGATATTACTGGCAGTAACTGCCTCAACCGACGAAGTATGTTAGGGAGCAGCCAATCTACATGCTCGTTTTCTTGTTACGTTTTCGAAGGTCAACACTTCCTTGCCAGTAAGTGGGCATTTTAACCGCTACCGTTGGGAAACATCCACAGGCATGGGTATTGTGTCTGTGTCTACGTGCTGACAGGAAATATGCATGTTTACGTGTAGACATATTATGTGTGAATACTGTGTGTGAGGGCATTGTGGGAGAGCTGGCTAAGTCGCCAAGCTAGTGATCCAGCGAGGTTGAGGTGTCGGGATCGAGCCCACCTGTGACCGGGTGTAAAAACTCTGGAGTCAACTTTGCGCGCAGACTCTTTCAGTGTTGTCACAACCCCTAGTGTACAGTACACAACCATGTGCACTTAAATGAACCCACGAATCCGTTGGTAAATGACCAGATGGTGGTCACATAAATACTGCAAACACCTAGTTGCGGGTACAGCAACGTGCAGTAAACCTGGAGAAAATACTGTGACTACGTGTCCCAGTCCACCCAGCTGTGAATGGGTACCTCGTAAGGATGGGAAAGCCACATTAACTCGGTGCGCCTAGTGACTGCAAGACTTGTATACTCCCCAGGGAGTTGCGATTGATTGATAATACATTGTGCCGTTTGAGACTGACATCCAATGATCGAGGGAAAAGCAAAGCGCCTTTGAGCAGGTGATCTAGATATTGGCGCTATATAAATAGATATAAATAAAAAAATAATCAAAGAATACGTGTAGACAAGAGTCGGTATGTGTACTGCAGGCAGGAGATGTGTGTGTAAAGATCAAACCTAGTTAACGCACGTGTAACGTAGTATTCAGTCCAGACAGGAGATATGTGTTCGTGTTGGAGATGTATGGGCACGCATTGCCATGGAATTGATTTGTCAAAATCAAACCTGGTTCACTCACGTGTAATGTATTGTCAATAGAAAAATACGGACAGTCGGATTCTATCTCTGTGATGATGTTTTCTATTTAATATTTTTTGTAGAACACATTCAAAATATAAGCCTTCATTGTGTGCCAGGCTATGTGTCACGCGTTAAGTGACTTAGGTTTCGCCATGACAGATATGATTGCGTCTGAAGGACAAACTGCATATACACAGGATATGTTCCTAACTAGCATACGTATCGTCGACCTGTCACATTTACCAATTACGTGAAGTCAGTTTGTCATTCATTATTCTGGAATGGGTGGGTGAGTGAGTGAGTAAAGTAAATACTTTATAATTTTATTTTATACAATCTGTCGCCAAAGGAAGGTAAAACAACTAGTATATCACAATAAGAGTTTTAAAACTAGCATGTAACTTAAAATTATATACTATTTAAGACATTACAACATAAAAATGGGCTATAGATCGAGAGCAATTGAAGGTAAATAACCATACTTGCGACCATGGGGACTTACACTACCTTTGTTACCTGTATGGACCCTAGCTATATTTACACCATCCCTTCAGCCGTTGGCAATTGTAGGGAAATTTCGACATGATTTAAATTTACAATAAAGGCTGCATTTGAAAAATCTAGTAAGTTCAAATAAACTTGGAATGTTTCGGGATTTATGTACCCTCTCCGGAACACTGTTGCCACTAACCGTCTTGCGAATTTAAACTGTAATGCGAATTTAAACTACCAATTATAAAAATACACCTATCTAAAAAAAACATATCTATCAAAACTTATCAATTAATTCAATTTCTTTTAAAAACTCAATGATTGAAGGAGCATGTACATTATTAAAAAGATCCTTCATCGTTTTTACAATGAAATACTTGATCCTCCGTTTTGCATCCCTTGTGATGGAAAAATCCACACAGTCAAGCAGGACATGCTTAACTGTGCTTCTTTCATCACAAGGGATGCAAAACGGAGGATCCTCACCTTTGGTTCGTTGGTTGGTTTTATAGTTTTAGGGCGACGTGGGCCAATAAGAGGTCTATTTGCGCCCAACACATTGACTTGATTTAATAAACAATCATAGGTAATTTCATCGCCAAAAGGAATCGTTTAGTTAAGATAAAAGAAACGACAACACTATTAATTTGGATAGATGTATACGTATGTCGAATAACCTCTGCTTTGTGTTACGGATTAAAAACACGAAGTAATCACTTCCATTTCTGAAACATGAAATACCCATTCATTAAAAAAGCAGTAGGTTCAGATGACAGAGTTTTAAAATGATTTAAAACCAAAGAACATAATCTGTCTAAGCCATTCGAGAGCCTGTCTAGATTACATCATATTTTCCAGATGACGAGACAAAATCTAAAACTGCCCGTTGCACAGACCCATACATGATATTGGGGCCCAAAACTGTTTCTAATGAAAATACATCATCAACCTCAAGTACAGCACTTCTGAGATTATGTCTTATGTTGTTATGCCAAGGGCATGTAATTAGATAATGTTCGATGTTTTCAGGCGTCTCCAAATTGCAATGGTCACATTTAGAAGAGACCGTCTTATCTATAATACTCCTGTAAGCATTTAGTCCACAGTGTCCAAGTCTCAGACGTGAAAGAATAACCTCATCACGCCTTTTACGACGACGAATTCACCTTTGAACAGGTATTATCATTATCTCCCTTGAGTAGTGAAATCGTTTGCATATCGCTCCCATGAAAACCCAATGCCATGGAAAATGAAGACAAATATAGCAACATGGGGATCTCAATTGACATGTGGAGGGCAAAAATCGGAAATTTTGTGCCACCAAGAGGGGTAAGACAGATCACAAAGATACAACCATACAACCCATCATGCAAATGGACGCCGGCCAGACGTAGGATACAGACTTCTGTTGTGTGGGACTTCAATGCTTTTTATATACAGTGTGGGGTCAGCTCGTGCATAGTGGATGCAAACTAAATCATCTACATTTACCCCGCCAGTTACAGTATGCCCACGCAGTGAGATCTGTGATTGTTTCTACACTACTGTGACGTCAGTGTTTACATATCGAAAACAAGAAACACCGAGGATAAGTTCACTCCCAAGAACAATGACTGTGCACTCGATGATTTACAGAGCTGGAGACATGGAACTCAACTCAGGAACTTCCGGTAAGGAGCTTGATGATCTTAAATCTGCCATAATAAAAAAATTAAAGACTCAGAAGAACGGCTGTCTCATGACATGCAGTCTGTTAAAGAGGACATACAATCTATCAGGTCAGAGATCTGTGATTTAAAAAGTGAACTTGAGACTAATATAGAGTAACAACATGTGATCAGAATGTATGTTGACGAACTTACATGTTTCCATGTAGTATCGTATGCTTTTTCTAGATCGAAGTTTATTAATTAGGGCATGTTTAACAAAAGATTCTTACCAAACGATCGATGGTACCTCTGTTTTTTACGGAAACCACATTGTATATCTGTTGATAAGTTATTGGTTTTCAAGTACCAAACAAGTCGAATATTTATCTTCCGTTCAGTGGTCTTGCAAACTCAGCTAGTTAGTGAAATTGGTCTATAGTTAGAAGGATCAGTATGATCACGTCCAGGTTTAGGAATGGGAACAATCATAGCAAATTTTCCAGAAGTCCAAATGTCATCAAAATATATGTAAGAGTGTTCTGGAATGATCTACAAGACCAAACTAAGAACGTTAAAAGTAAAGCATCCTTTGCTAATGTTACTTTTGATTGGAGTAGGATTTTTATGACTTACCTATATGATTTGAAAAATGTCAAACTACTTGATTTCCAATACTAGATTTTACATGGTATTATAAAAACTAAAAAAAAGAACTATTTAAAATGAAACTTATTGACAATTTAGTTAGCTTTTTTGTTTTGAGCTGAATGAGAGTATTTCTCATGTTTATGAGACACAAACAGTCTGGAATGAATTTGAAGTATTGATGAACAATCATATAGAGAACACAGTTATGATAACAAAATACCTTGTTTGGTTTGGAACATTATACATTGATAGACTATTGAATCATATTATCTTATCAGCCAAAAGATATATCCATCTATGTGGGATTAAACAACACGCTCCAAAACTGTAAAGGTTTTTGGTTATTTTGAGAGAGTTTTTCAACGTTGAATTATTGCAATTAAAATAATAGCCTTCATAATCATGACAATAAAGGGCTTTCTATATTTCCAACTCAACAAAAAACCTAGACTCACTATTGGTATGTATTTTTGAATTCTCTGTGTCAAACTCTGAAAATGTTAATTGCTGTGTAACGATGTAGTTTTGGGAACAATAAGAACATTTTGAAAAAAAGAACGTTAAAAATACAATTATGAGGACCAAATTTCAAATTTGACGCGCCTCTTGATGTGGACGTTGAGGTTCCTGTCAGTGTAGTGGTTGACAATTCCACTTTTGATGTGTCTGGAAACCTCGAACATCATCTCGTATTTAGCCTCGTAGATTTTACTCTCAAAGAATGTAGCTCGATTAGATTTGAATTTTAATTATTTTTTTATGAAATGAAAAAGACCACCTCTTTGCTTTTTGTTCAGAACATGGTATTTACTTTCCGGAGGAGCTTTGCGCACCTAAAACATAACCTAAACCTATGATCTTCGGGTTCTGATAATGTTTCTAAGCTTGTCAGCTCATAGTCGTTGACGTGGGCTTTACCAAAGTGATACACGTCGCACAGCATCATCACTTTGGCTTCTCGTCTTCATCAACCTCACATTTTCTATATATTTGAAATAACGTATACACAATGCCTTTTTGAAAAGTGAGTAAGAGAGTTTAGTTTTACGCCGCAATATTCCAGCTATATGGTGGCGGTCTGTAAATAATCGAGTCAGCACCAGACAACCCAGTAATCAACATCATGAGCATCGATCTGCGCAATTGGGAACCGATGACATGTGTCAACCAAGTCAGCGAGCCTGACAACCCGATCCTGGTAGTCGCCTCTTACAACAAGCATAGTCGCCTTTTGTGGCAAGCATAGGTTGCTGAAGACCTATTCTAATGAATTTACCAGCTGAATGTAGAGAAACCCTCAGATGACAAACTACATCCTGGCAACAAAAATTCGTTGTACTAGATGTAAAGAGCAATAATGACTTTTTATTTCCCCCATTTATCATAATTATCTTAAAGATAGATTATACCGACATTCAGAATCAGTCTTTTCAGGGACTGCTTCTTCATAAACTCACCTTACAAGCAAAGACAGCTAATGTCTTGGAACAGTGGCGCTAACACGTGATATGTATATGTTGTGCCATTTGCGGCTAAGAGGGCAGGCGATACTTATCTTTGAATTCTGACTTTAAAAAGATGTGACGCGAACCAGACTGCCTTTATTAAACATAAATTTAGTAAATAGCAACAGGTACAAGCAAGATACAATAGCAGTACCTTTTGAAAGAAATGTAGGTATGCAGATTCATAAAATTTCATGCAGGTCTAACGTTGTCAACAGTGGTCTGTAATCCCCGCTATGTTTCTAACACCCCACCCCAAACCAAATTCATAAACATAATAATTTAGAAAAATTATTAAAATGAAAGTCGGTGCATGATATGAAAAGTCAAAAGGGTTTATTCCACGGACTTTTTTATTTTCGTTTTCAAGTGAGTGCACATCTCACATCAGGCAACATCTAAGGACTGTATGGTCGGTCCATTGTGAATGTTAGTGACACCTTGGAATTTGTTAGCCATTCTTCTATACAGAGAGTTTCGTGAACTGAATCTAGCAAGAAACTTCGCTTTCATCCAAGACTGTGACAGCCAGGCGACCCAAGAGCTTGGCTTCTTCTGCTGAGCAATCAGGTACCTCTGCCACACGTTTTCTGATGCAAGTCGGCACACTAATAAAGAGACAAAACGTTCTGGATTACGGTAACTGAAAGAGAAGCAAGAAAGAAAAAGAAAGAAAGAAAAAGTGAGAAAGTGTGTGTATCAGGGAGAGAGAGAGAGAGAGAGAGAGAGAGAGAGAGAGAGAGAGAGAGAGAGAGAGCAAGAGAGACACAGAGAGAGAGAGAGAGAGGGAGAGGGAGAGAGAGATTTGCTAAACTATTGGCAGATGGACAGAGTCTGCTAACCACGCAGCACTGTTCCGCGTCGCTTGCAATTGATTTTTCAGTTGAGGCATACCGAATATTTTAACTTCATATAAGCTTGATTAGTGTTGAAAAAACGGCGGAGGACATCAGGATACATATTGTACCTATGAGAGGCATGGAACACGGGTCTTCGACGTGACGAGCGAACGCTCTAACCACTAGGCTATCCCACCACCCATATGTTTCGAAACACATAGAGTGAGAACACAATAACAAGATAATACCGATATCAACATATACACGTAAAAGTATGAGATAAAATATAGTTACCACTGGATATACGGATGAAGGCACCCACGGATCGTTGTCGTGAGGTTCGAGCTTCTCCAGCAGTCTTCCCCCGATACAAATGCTGAAATGGTTGAATACAATTACCGACGAAATGTTGGCGAGTGTTTATCGTATTCACACACATCAAATAGTAAACATGATAACCGGTGAGAATATTTGTTGAGAATATCATCTGCTGAGATCCCTACATAATCAACCCGCAAGCAAACCTACCCGTGTTTAAGTACATACATTCATAGTTTTCATGACAATTATAGTAGCGTTGACACTGTGATTTTACCGACCAGTCAAGCTCCTAAAAGTGCATAAAAACAGCAATAAGCCGTTTCTCGAAAGAGGGGAAAGTTTATATAACCATCACAAACACAATCACACGACACAGAGAAGAGCGATCTACATAACCATTGCCACATAATCTTCCTGGACATCCAAGTAAAGAGATCTACATACTATCCTCTGATGTATACCCTCCACTGACACCCAAGTAAAGAGATCTACATATTACCCTTATGTATACTCTCCAATGACACCCAAATAAAGAGATCTACATATTACCCTCTTATGTATACCCTCCACTGACACCCAAGTAAAGAGATCTACATATTACCCTCTTATGTATACTCTCCAATGACACCAAGTAAAGAGATCTACATATTACCCTCTTATGTATACTCTCCAATGGCACCAAGTAAAGAGATCTACATATTACCCTCTGATGTATACTCTCCAATGACACCAAGTAAAGAGATCTACATACTACCCTCTGATGTATACTCTCCAATGACACCAAGTAAAGAGATCTACATATTACCCTCTTATGTATACTCTCCAATGACGCCCACGTGTATAGAGAGCTCAGTAGCCAGTCTTAAACATGCCGCGACTGAATCTGTAGCAACGTGCACACGCTCTGGGACTCCTTGAAGCCGGTATTTCACAAAATGTTGTTGCTAGGCGCCTTAATGTCAACCAGTCCACCATTAGCCGTCTTGTCAGTCGTCACCAGAAGACAGGGACCGTTGCCGACCGCCCTCGACCAGGGCGACTTCCGGTTACAAAGGCCAGATAAGATCGACAGATGCGACTGGCGCACCTTCGAGTTCGCTTCAGAACGGCAACAGCAAGAGCAGCAGCAACGATTGGTAGCCATGGAAGAAGGATCCACCCATTGACAGTCATTCGACGCCTGAGACAGGCCGGACTGAACTGTCGACGTCCATACCGTGGCCCTGTGCTTCAGCCCCGTCACCGCCAAGCCCGACGTCAATTCGCACGGCAGTATGCGCAACAACAACCACTTTTCTTCCGTAGGCTTGTCTTTTCAGACGAGTCACGGTATTTGTGGATGGAAGAGATCCTGTTTCCAGACGTCGTGGGGATCGTTATGCAGGCCCATGTGTCAGACAGAGATATAGAATTGGTGGTGATAGCGTAATGGTTTGGGGGACCATCTACGCATGTTTCAGGAGTGATCTGACTGCACAGCGTTATGTGGATGAAGTCCTGAGGCCCGTAGTGGTTGCTTTGCTGCGCCGTCACCAACGCCCTCGACGTCCACTACCATTCCAACATGACAACGCCCGTCCTCATGCCGCCAGGGTGACACAAGCATTCATTCAGCAAGCTGGACTTAATGTGATGGACTGGCCAGCGTATTCACCAGATCTCAACCCTACTGAGCATGTGTGGGATGAACTGGGGAGACGTGTTTATCGACGTCAGCCACCGCAAGCCAACGTCGCAGCTCTCACACTGGCCTTGCAGCAAGAATGGAGGAACATTCCCATGGCCTTCATTGCTCGCCTCTGTGACTCATTGCCCCATCGTCTCAATGCCTGCGTCAGGGCGAATGGAGGACAAACAAGATACTGACAGTGTTTAAAGGGGTGACCTTGTTTGACCTTATCTGTTCCACTCGCATTTGCTGATATCCAACTTTTTCAAAACCATAATCATTGCTAATTACCCATGTCATAAACTGAAAATGATTTTACATCTAAACCTTTGTTTTTGTCACTTTATTCCACATCAAAATCAGTTATGCGTTTTCATTGCGGGTCAGTATAATTTTATATCTCGCATGACACCCAAGTAATAGGTCTATGTGACCATTGGCACATAATTTTCCATGACACCCAAGTAAAGAGATCGACGTATATACTAGTACCTCTAATGCATTATCGTGCATGACACCCAAGTAACGAGACCTACAAGACCACTGGCACGTAATCTTCCATGACACCCAAGAGATCTACATGAACACTGAACACGATCAATATGACACCTAAAGAGATTTACATAACCCTCTACACACAAGCTCCCATAAAACCCGTATAGAAAAGTATCTCGAGAATCAGCAAATACACAATCACTCTGTTCATATTATTTTTGTTAAATAGAACTGCTACTATGTACTATATGTGCACCATACCTTGACTGTTCTGGCAAATGAATTCCCATGGCATCTGAGCGCTTTGCATGTCCCTGTATAAGTCGTGGTTCCTACACTCACTGGCAGAGCCAATACAGTTCCGGCTTTCCTCAAGGAGGTTTGACCTTACACAAAAATTCACCAATGCATGAGTACGTGCGTGGGCGTGGGTGCGTGGGTGCGTGGGTGCGAGGGTGCGTGGGTGGTTGTGTGCGTAGATGGGTGGGTGTGTGGGTGCGTGGTTGGGTGCGTGGATGGGCATTGGGTGGAAGGTGAAGGAGTGATAGATTCCATTACATCACATATAATGCATTTACCTGTACACTTTCTAATGTAATATAGAAAGTAAAACATTTTCCGTTAAATACCCCATGTAATATCGGAGGTAACGCATTTACCTTTTCACAGACATGTACTTGTAATGCAGAAGGTAATGAATTTACAGTACAGCACTGTCCGTATATATTTCTGCAACACAGACGTTTAGCTCGTTTATCTAAACTGTCTTCATCAGTTTGGCAAAGTGTCACCGACAGTTAGAATGACCAGGGTTTTCGCCCTTGCATCACTATCGGATCTGTTCGTATACGTTCGCAAAACAGCCTCTAATATGAGCTCAGATTGGAGATGACACATTGATATCGCTTTGTTCACATTTTTGAGAGGTTGAGAGTATGTTATATGTTGACAGGGTGTCTGAAAACAATGTTAAAATCAGAAACGAGTCGGTTAATCAAATGCCTGGTAGCTCCATAACTATAGGGTAAGTGAGTGAGTGGGTGAGTGAGTAAAATTTGGATGGAACGTGACCCACTTATAGATTCCATTGCACTATATAACGCATTTCCCTGTACACTACCAGATGTATACTGAAAGTAATACCTGACATCTCCATAACTATAAGTGACACAACTAATAGATTACTTACTCGCACGGTACAGCAAGTCTCCCATCAACAACGACGTCTTGTGGACCATTCACGGCAAAAATATCACGGAGGTTCTGCACGCAGGGACTGAGCCTTCCCATGCAAGGATCCTCTTCTGCTTGGCCATAGGACACGTTCACCATGTTCTCAGGATTCTGACGACGCTGTGTCTTGTGGCCAGCATTGGGAAACAGAGCTGGAGACAATGAGATAGTAATTTAGTTAAAGAACCACTAAACTTTGTTTTTTGTTACTCTTTTAACCATTACATATGAAAGATTTGTGGTTAGTCTTATGCGGAACACCAAATTTATTCTTTAAAAACTTGTGGTTAATTAATACCGAGCGATTAAAAGTTGCCAAAAAGTCGCTTGCTTCCCTCTCGCCCGCCAACGAAACCACAGACAGGTTACGTAACTCTGTCGCCCGAGCACTGCAGTGACGTCATATGAGGAACGATTTTCAGTTAGTGGTATAGAAAATGTGTAGCACGCTAATCATTTTGATGATTTCTCGACATCAACGACGACATGCCGAATCGTTGCTTTGTCGTCAATTGCTCCTAGGGGTCGGGCGATAGTGTCCCCATGCACAGATTTCCACAGGACCCCGCAGTTCGTGCTAAATGGGTTATGTTTGTGAGTGCGAAGCGAGCGTTGTGGAAGCCTGAAACGATATCTTACTTGTGTTCAGATCGCTTCACGGAAGTTAAAGAATCAAAACTACATACTAGTTGTAGTAAAATATGCATATGATTGATGACCATAAAGATTTTTATGACACAACTTGTAACATAACGATTTCTTCCTCGGAAGTGAGGTTGTGGTCGAAGTAACAATAATATTGTAAGTAGTATTATATTGATACCCACCTCGCTGCCACGAGAAATTGTTATGATATACGCTATGTCATGCAAAATCCTATTGGCTATCAATAAAATACATATTTTATTACCAGTAGAGTAGTTTTGATTTTGTAACTCGGTGAAAACAAACCTAAATACCATTTAGCCTCAGACTGGCGGATGTTCCCGACAGGGCGCCGCCATTTTAAAAATAAAAAATCTGTTAGAATTAATGAGATTATAGTTTGTTTTCACTCAAGTTAGAAAATCAAGACTACTTTCTACTCGTTGTTAAATATGTATTGGAATCATAACCAAACGGATTTTGCATTACACAACTTATAACATAACGATTTCTTCCACGGAAGCGAGGTGGGGGTCGATGTCACAATACTGCGCGATAAATTTCTTGCTACATTCCCATGGTTAATGTCCACTCACCAGTATGTAGATACTAGTCAATGTGCGTCTTTATATTTGGACTTATAATCCTAATTAGTTTATTATCACATTTGTATGCATTTTGAAACTAAATAAAAAAGCAGACGATCTGCTGATACTTATAGTGAATTTATAACAGAACTGTAATATCTAGACATTTTATAGTTTGCCAATGTGAATCATAATTCGCACACACACCCTAGTACATGTTGTCTGTCTCATTACACTTCACGGCGAAAACAATGATTCTGTTGAATGCTACGACAAATGAATAAAAAACAAAATGCAAATATTAAAATTAAAACAGATTAAAGTTATAGGAACAATATCAGGCCATTACCTTGTTCGAGGAATGTATCCATCAATATCCACAAAACTGTTCCAAATGATGTCTTTTAACAGTTTAATATACGAAAAAGTGATAAATCTTTTCAGGTATTGGTGTAAAGTCTCATTGGTCACCCAAGATAGCACACCTGGCAACTAATTGCATAATGTCCGCCTTTCTTTAAAAACAGTAATTTAGTTAGCCAATAATGGGCAATCAATCAATGTATTGCCGGTTAATCCTTTGAAAGAAGGACGTTGTTTTTACGCAGACACCGACACGACAGAGTGTATTCAGTATAGATTAGTAAATCTACATACATAAACACTACCTTTTGACAATTCCGCTGTGTAAGATAAAAGTAATTAATCAATCAGCGTGTTATCGGTTAATCCTTTGATCGATGTTTATAATGTTGAATATTTACTCCAGACACAAGAAATGCCAAATGGGAACCTTTGTCGGGTAATCTAAGCGTGTTACCACTAATTATACCTGTTATAAATTCATTAACTGACCATCAAGTGAATGATGACAAATAACATGTGTAGGTTTATACCACCTAACACGGGTTACAACGAGGGAGTATTAATTGCTGTATTGCATGTGAAAACTTATTGGCCGACACTGTTTTGAGAATACAAACAGATTTTTACATGACATGATTAAATATCGAGGTAAAACAACACAGAAATGGGATCAATTTGATCAGTCATTATACAAATAGGGCCTAACGACACCAATCGATTTTGACAGAATCGTCTATGAAAACAAGTTGTAACTCGGAAACTAGGGCAAGCAGGAGACAAAATTAAATGACAGTAGATTGTGAGAACATATAGCTTTCATTTTCCACAACAATTGTCACGATTTCAGGTTTATACAAGCCTGTAAACACGATAATTTACCCCCCTAAAATGTAGATGAATTCTGCATCGGATCTCAAAGCTATTCCTCATATGACGTCACAGAGGCGCGCAGCTCTGATTGGTTGAAATTTCGTTCGCTGGTGAGAATTGTGCACTGTTGTCAAAAAGGTCGATTTAAGTCAATTAAAGGTCGAAATGAGTAGTTTTAATGACGGGGTTTCATTTATAACGATGCCAGTTAGTGATTTATGTATTTGTACCCCCTAGGGTTTATGTGACCTTTAACACCGATGTTATATACGGTTCGCAGACTTACGCCCCTTACCTACGGAAAGATTCGGTAATCGTGGGATCGAATTGCATATTGACTATATAAGTTCTACTAAAGTTCTACACGGATACAATACCTGTTGCCTGTGTGTATAAAGTTCTCCCTGATGAAAGTAAAGTATTTTTTTTCAAAACTTTGAAGCGAACCTGTCATTGAGAATGCAGTGGGAATAGTTCTGCAATAAACTTATGGTGCAGGCAACCTGCCTACAATAAGAGCGATAAATATGTAGCTTAAATCTATAGACAGTAGTTTGGTATATATACTGAGTCAAAAAAGAAACTTCACTTTCTTTCTTCAGGGCACTTTAAAAGAACAAGAGATGGTAATATGGTTAAATTGATATTATTTCATTGCTGAGATATGTGTGATGTACTCGATACACTGACAGTGCCATAATCAGTTCCATTAGGCTACACCGCCGTTCCAAAACATGGGTATACAGAATGTCAAGTCACAAGAATAAAAATGCGAAATTTCTCAGTTCAATATCGTGTATGGCCGCCCCGCGCATTCACCATTGCCAAACACCGTCTCCTCATCGACTGCCTGATGCCTGTGAACACGTGGTTAGGGATTCTGCGCCATTGCTCTTGCAAGGCAGCGCCAAGTTCTGAGGTTGGTTCCTAAGACCACGAAGCCTTCTCCCAAGTGCATCCCAAACGTGCTCTATTGGATTAAGGTCAGGGGACCTCGATGGTCAGTCCATGACGTTGATTCCAGCGTTTTGAAGGAAATTTCGTGTCAACATCGCGGTATGCGGCCGAGCATTATCATGCTGGAACTGTAGACCTGGGCCATGAGCCGCCATGAAAGGAACGAGTTCAGGGGTGAGCACCTGGTCGCGGTAAGCAGCAGCTGTGAGGTTTCCACAGATGACCAGAAGTCGGGAACGGTTGTTCCCACAGAAAGCACCCCACACCATGCAACTTCCGCCCCCAAATCTGTCGACTTCCTTTACACAACATTGGGCATACCGTTCACGACGTCGTCTCCAGACTCCATGCCTGCCGTCCGAGAATCTGAGGGTAAACCTGGATTCAGCGCTAAAGACGACTCGATTCCAGTCTCTCTGGGTCCATCGGAGGTGACGTTGGGCCCACGGCAGACGTTGACGTTGATGAAACGGCGTCAATATTGGCCCACGATATGGACGTCGAGAATGGAGATTGGCATCCCGCAACCGATTTCGAATGGTCTGTGAGGACAGTCGACCTCAAAGCATCTCAGCCCTGGTTCGTGTAGCCGGCGAAATCTGTCACGTAGGTGACGTAAGACGGTTTTGAGAATACAAACAGATTTTTTACATGACATGATTAAATATCGAGGTAAAACAACACAGAAATGGGATCAATTTGGATCAGTCATTATACAAATAGGGCCTAACGACACCAATCGATTTTGACAGAATCGTCTATGAAAACAAGTTGTAACTCGGAAACTAGGCAAAGCAGGAGACAAAATTAAATGACAGTAGATTGTGAGAACATATAGCTTTCATTTTCCACAACAATTGTCACGATTTCAGGTTTATACAAGCCTGTAAACACGATAATTTACCCTAAAATGTAGATGAATTCCTGCATCGGCTCTCAAAGCTATTCCTCATATGACGTCACAGACATGCGCAGCTCTGATTGGTTGAAATTTCGTTCGCTGGTGAGAAATTGTGCACTGTTGTCAAAAAGGTCGATTTAAGTCAATTAAAGGTCGAAATGAGTAGTTTTTAATGACGGGGTTTCATTTATAACGATGCCAGTTAGTGATTTATGTATTTTTAACACCGATGTTATATACGGTTCGCAGACTTACGCCTCACACCTACGGAAAGATTCGGTGATCGTGGGCTCGAATTGCAGATTGACTATATAAGTTCTACTAAAGTTCTACACGGATACAATACCTGTTGCCTGTGTGTATAAAGTTCTCCCTGATGAAAGTAAAGTATTTTTCAAAACTTTGAAGTGAACCTGTCATTGAGAATGCAAGTGGGAATAGTTCTGCAATAAACTTATGGCGCAGGCGACCTGCCTACAATAAGAGCGATAAATATGTAGCTTAAATCTATAGACAGTAGTTTGGTATATATACTGAGTCAAAAAAGAAACTTCACATTCTTTCTTCAGGGCACTATAAAAGAACAAGAGATGGTAAGATGGTTAAATTGTTATTATTTCATTGCTGAGATCTGTGTGATGTACTCGATACACTGACAGTGCCATAATCACTTCCATTAGGCTACACCGCCGTTCCAAAACATGGGTATACAGAATGTCAAGTCACAAGAATAAAAATGCGAAATATCTCAGTTCAATATCGTGTATGGCTGCCCCGCGCATTCACCACTGCCAAACACCGTCTCCTCATCGACTGCCTGATGCCTGTGAACACGTGGTTGGGGATTCTGCGCCATTGCTCTTGCAAGGCAGCGCCAAGTTCCTGCAAATTCTGAGGTTGGTTCCTAAGACCACGAAGCCTTCTCCCAAGTGCATCCCAAACGTGCTCTATTGCATTAAGGTCAGGGGACCTCGATGGCCAGTCCATGACGTTGATTCCAGCGTTTTGAAGGAAATTTCGTGTCAACATCGCGGTATGCGGCCGAGCATTATCATGCTGGAACTGTAGACCTGGGCCATGAGCCGCCATGAAAGGAATGAGTTCAGGGGTGAGCCCCTGGTCGCGGTAAGCAGCAGCTGTGAGGTTTCCACGGATGACCAGAAGTCGGGAACGGTTGTTCCCACAGAAAGCACCCCACACCATGCAACTTCCGCCCCGAATCTGTCGACTTCCTGTACACAACATTGGGCATACCGTTCACGACGTCGTCTCCAGACTCTATGCCTGCCGTCCGCGAATCTGAGGGTAAACCTGGATTCATCGCTAAAGACGACTCGATTCCAGTCTCTCTGGGTCCATCGGAGGTGACGTTGGGCCCACAGCAGACGTTGACGTTGATGAAACGGCGTCAATATTGGCCCACGATATGGACGTCGAGAATGGAGATTGGCAGCCCGCAACCGATTTCGAATGGTCTGTGAGGACAGTCGACCTCAAAGCATCTCAGCCCTGGTTCGTGTAGCCGGCAGAAATCTGTCACGTAGGTGACGTAAGACGATTTGACGGTCTTCTGCTCGTGACGTCACACGTGGACGACCCGACCTTGGGCGATCAGAAGTGGTGCCAGTTTGTTGTAGACGACCTCGCAAGTCATACACAGTACGACGGCTGCATCCCATTGCTCTTGCGATGTCAATAACTGATCTTCCCGCTTGCAACATGCCAACGGCACGTTCACGTTGCACATTGGACATTTCAAGTACCGTTAGAACTGTGGTTTAAAAGTGTTTTTTCAATTCTTGAGGCCAATGCAAACACGTGCATATGAAGAAAACTTCGATGCGAAGATCACGTGATCGACTGCACGTGCAAAACCTGAGTTGGCACTAACATTTGCACGACGAATGGATGGGTTTGAGTGAGTTTTGCTAACGTTTTTCTAGAGTCGAAAGATAGGGATCCCATTTCGGATACATAGATGTATCATCAGAGAAAAATTATTCATTATTTTTCAAATTACATTTTGTGAAGTTTCTTTTTTGACTCAGTATATATTAAGAAAACAATGAACGTGACAAAACACTCACCAAATGAAAAACATATTGCTGGCAAATACAGAAGGAAGATCACTCGCCCAAACATCGTCAACGACTTGTTCCCAGTGAATAACTGGTATGGCTTAAACATGAAACATATATAACGGATATTACTGGCAGTAATTGTCTCAACCCACGAAGTATATTAGGGAGTAGCCAGTTTACTGAAGCTCACATTATGTTTTCGAAGGTCACCACTTCCGTGGCAGTAAGTGGGCATTTTAACCGTTACCGTTGGGAAACATCCACAAAAATAGGTATTGTGCTGGTAAAGGAGGAACTACAGTCAGGTAATCGTGGGAGGTTATCGCCAATCGTGTATGTGTACTTGAGGACAGCGGATGTACATCCAGACAGTTGTGTGTATACGTATAGACAGAAGTATATGTCTGAGTCTACGTGTTAAGAGGAGACATGTTTGTGTACGTGTAGACAGAGGATGTGTGTTTTATGTAATATATTTGTAAAACCAATTCAAAATAAGAGCCTGTATTGTTTGCCATGAAGGCAGGATGCAGGCTTTGAGTCTCGTGCATATATAATATCGTTTCATGGTCATTTGAGTTAAGTGACTATAATGTTTGGCCAGAGATGATTGCCTCTGAAGGTCAAACTGCACATTCACTGGGAGAGGCCTCAACAGGAAATGTATGCCGACCTATCATTTTGTCATGCATTATTTTGAAAGGATCTTTTAAAAGGGAAACCTAAGAACATTAAAAGCAAGTTCTATTATTTTTTCATAGAGATGACTGCCTGTATAGGTGAAACTGTACGTGAAACGGTATAAGAATCTCTACCGAAACGTCGCCATTGTCAAAATAAATAGTTTATTTAGCCTCGTAGATTTCATATCTTTTAACCACTTCTTTGTGAGTTTGGTTTTTCAGAAGATGACATTCACGTAGGTCAAGAGGTAAACTGAATACTTGTAAATAAGAACCCAAAAATACATTATCCATAAAACGTGTCATGAATGCATGTTAGACCAACTTCTAATATAGTAATTCGATAAATGTAAGAAAGTGATCCTATTTTCCCAAATCATGTATTTATGGTGTGATCAGGTCAAGTGGAGACACATTGTCTGTATGATCCACAAACTGCTGACATCTGCTCATTTAAAAAGTAAGATAGGGATAGTTAAACACAGGTACCCATTCCCTCAAATCCCTAAAATTATCCCATTATCTGGATCTACAATAATCTCAAAACGTATGCGTTCGCATACTTGCAATTGTCAAGGAAAAGGGTCAGATGTTGTGAGAGTTATCTTAATTGAATGGGTAGATCAGTAAGTAGGCCACATACTTGACAAAGCCATCATCCTAGCACCTGTAACAAAAGCATAAGTTCCCAGATATTAATCATGGACTTATATTGCTGAGGGCAATTTCTGTTGCATTCTCTGACTGTTGCATTGGTTAGTTAGACGCTGATTGTATACTGAACCGCAAAAGAAACGCCACGTCGGTAGCGGCTTCTTAAAGCACACACTATAATTCGCTCTAATGAACAATCAAAACGGAGGATTGAGTTCAAACCTGACAATTATGGTTAACATGTTTTTGGGAATCACATTTAGAGTTTACACCAACAAAATCACCAAAAATGGCACCATTAAGATACCCCAAAGTCTACATCGTGTGTAGCCTGCATGGGCATCGAGCGTTGCGTTGTCTGTACATGGAATAGATTAGCCGGTTGATGACGGCCACATGCACTTAGGTCCATACTCTGCGAAATGCCTGATCGAGTCCAGCCGAAGTTGTCGGCCTTTGTTGGAGGTCATTCAGTCTTCTCTGAATCTCGTCCGCAAGGTGTTCTATTGGACTTAAATCGGGACTGAGTGCAGGCCATTGTAGGGTATGGATGCCATGTTATTTTAGGAAGTCAAATGTTGCTCTGGCAGTGTGGGCACGAGCGTTGTGCTGCTTTGTGATTTCTGTGACGTCCAAAATGTGGCACAACGTGGGGTCAATACAGCGACCAGCTGTCACGCCATTTCCTCGTCCTGACCGAGATTCAGGGGCCAACTCTCTGGTTCAGACCGATTGCACCCCCACACCATGATGCTTTGACCACCCCACGAGTCTCTTTCAACAATACACTCGTTGGAAACCGTTCCCCACGCCTTCGCCATAATTTCACCCTGTCATCGGCTGTCAAAACACAATATCGGTTTTCATCTGAAAAAAGCACAGTTCTCCATTGTCGATAAACGATCAATAACGATGCTGAGTTGCCCATTGCAGTCGGTTTTGGCGGTGACGAGCGGTGGGGACAGGACCAGGATATGGTCTGTGACAGCAAAGGTTTCTTCCGCGCCAGTGATCTGGCGTGCTTTTTCCGACGCTATGGTGAAGCGTCCCTGCAGATTTTTGCGCTCAATCTGTCGGTCTTGACGTTGTGATGTTACTGAAGGTCGTCCACTGCGTGGACGGTCTTGGATGCTGTTAGTAACTTGATACTGCTCCTGCAGTCGGTAGATTGTCCTAACACGAACATTAAAATGATTGTCTGATCAACTTGCAATCGTATCAAGGCGTGTTTTTGTATCTCTCGTAAGTCGTGGCATGGCGATTTTGTCAAAACAAGAATGATTTCAGGGTAGTTTGGGTCTCGCTTTCATAGGTAGGGTTGTAACGATATGCACGTGCATTTTCATTTCGCGAATGCCATGCGGAACCTTTTACCACCTCTGTCCTTTTAGGAGCGTTTGGTCGATATGCTTTTTCATCAGTAAACACACTGATGTTGGTAATAACTGTCAATTTGGATTGAAAAGCATGTTAACAAAACGGTACAATCATAATGCAAACACCACCTTGTAAGAACAAAATTTTGCACTTGATTTGGAAATGTGGCGTTTCTTTTGTGGTTCAGTATATATGCCATAGTTAATATGTATCTCTTTAGTATATGGGTCTATGGCCTTTCATGCAATAAAGAACTGAAATGAATAGATGGGGCATCCGAATGTGGTGGTCTTGCTGACGTGACGTTACGCGTGGACGGCTTGTCAGAGGCAAATCGCAATTCCCATTATGTTGAAAAGGTCTCCATAGAGATGAGATCGTATTTCGATCAACAGCAAAATGTCTCGCCACTGAAAGTTTGGTCATTCCAGCATACCCACGGGGCGAAAACGCTTTTTTGTTAGCCGTGAAATATGTAGCTGTAATTAACGTCATTTCCACAATATTCAGAGGCAAGACAATAATCAACCGTTCTTTACTTTTGAATATCAGGTGTGTGAACTTCAGGTGTCAACAAGCATGCAAAAAATGAGTCAGTTCATAGTGCACAAAGTGCACGTGCTACGCGCAATATGCGACATAAAATTTCATAAAATATGCTGTGCTACATGTATATTTGGGGCTATTTTTATAACTCTTCAAATAACTTTTATTTCATGCAATTTTATGTTATGCACAGTTACTTTTTCCCGTTAGTATATATATGGTCTAAACTGAGAGTTGCATCGGAAACTACAAACAAGCCACACTGCATTTTTGTTAGGAATCCCACTTACTGTAAATATGATGAGCATCTCGGCTTTTGACAAGTTTTCACGTTTATAGTGTACCAATAAGAGAAGTGATAGTTAGAGGTACACTGACCTCAGACAGATACCTCGCCATTCACGTTGAATCTGTTGACTATCATCAAAGTACAATCGATCCCCGTTTACCCGGACAGAGAAAACCTTCTATTATCAGATGGCATTTACGTAAACAATACACGTACACAACATACAAATGTTATCCGGATATCACTGGAGGGATACGATGAAGATTTTTCACTGCTCATACTATATAGAAAACCGTTTGCATTATGTAAAGAGGTATTTTTGTTACAATCTGCGAAGGCTAAGTTCAGTTAACAAGGTATTTCCATTTAAATGGGGAAATTCGTTTGTGCGGATAACTATGAGAATATTTAAGAGTACAAATAGGAGAGGATCGTAACATTTTACACATTCAAGTGTGTTGATATCCACAACAGCGTCTGGTTAAATTAAAATAATATTCACTCCCTCATACATGCGAGTCAATGTGCAAAATTGCTTCTCTGCGTCAAAATCTAGGATCGTAGTTCTAACCTTAGTTTGTGTTTCTAGGTTTGCTTGAGACGGAACCAAACTATTGATTCACGGAAGTGATAAATGTCTAAGACCTGCATTACTTCAGGCTTTTCTTCATCATCACGGTGTCTCGACGTAAAAGCACTTAACCAAAATCACTCGCTTCTCTCTTGACATTTGTTCAGCAACTGCTACTTCATAAACTCACCTGACTAGCCAAGTCAGCTAATGTCATGGGCACCTGAAGCCGACACGTTAGGAAGTAAAAACTAGATTGACATACAAAAAGATTTGATAGTGCCTTTATTAAACAAATTTAGTAAATGCCACCAGGAACGGCATGGTACAATAGCAAGACATATTGACAGAAACGGAGTTGGAATCTGTATTGTGTGTAGAGTGTAATTCCTATAGGGGATTCATAATTTTGTCTTTTATGGTCAATAATTCCTGTTATGTAATTACTCTGTTCTGTTTTATTCAAACGAAACCACAAAATTCATAATATGTTATTTGAGAAATATTAATATTTAAATGTGTTTTCTGTGCCATTTGCTGCTAAGAGGGCAGAAGATGCATGGATCTAAACGTAAACTCTAGATGTGACACACGTAGGAATGTAATAATAAATGCCTTTATTAAACAGATTTAGTGAATACCAACAAGAACAGCCGGGTACAATGGCAAGACGTATTGTCAGAAACGTATTTAATGCTACGATAGTTTCTTCTTTGATGGGCATTTTAGAAGTTGAGGTTATGAAGAATGATGACAATTTTTATGGATTTACAACTTCTTTGGTTCCGTGAAAGGGGGAGTTTCGACATAAATTCTAATGTTGTCAAGCAAGCTCAAAGAAGTTGTATATCCATAAATATTGTCATCATTCTACAATAGTTGTACTGTAATGTATCTATTTCTGTTACGCTTTCTATAGAAGTTTAATGCATTTCCAATTTAGTCAGCTATGGTATGTGATTCCTGTTCTGCTGATATTAGTTCAGGTTTATTTTCAAAATAGAACCAAAATTCACCAGAAAATGAATTCTAACGATAATGAAAGTCAGATCATAGCCCTATCTGGTGCCTTTATTCCACGGACTTCCAATGGAGAGGAAAGGTTTCTTGTGAGTGCAGGTAACATCTGAAGATTTCAGATGTGAACGGTGAACGTTGGGACACGTGGAGATTCCCTTGCACAGAGAGATGCGTGAACTGAATCTAGCAAGATCCCTCTGTTTGTCCCATCATAACCCCTGCCAGGCGACCCAAAAGGATGGATTCTTCTGTAGAGCAATCGGTCATGTTCGCCATAGCTTCTCTGATGCAGGTAGAGTAACTGATAAAGAGACAGGAATATGTGCTAATGTCCAGGTAACATGTTCTCAAGGTAACTGACCTGACATGTACATTCGGTCTTAGTGCATACTGGGCTGTTGACAACATCAATAAGTAACTAGAACTATACCATAAGCTCTAAATCTTACATACCCAACAAAACACTTAATATGAAAACGAAAGAACTGAAATATTCTTTGAATTTACTATTAACTTTCAAATTGAAATTGTCTGTTTCAATCTGAGGAGGCTCATTGCGATTTCATAAATGCGGACTGGATCCAAATTGCGAGGTTAATTCAAAGTACACTTTTGATCACAAATGCTCGTGAGTCTTGTAAACTGCACGGTAAAAACTATTCTTAAATGACCGAAAGAGGTGTAATATTCTAAATCTATTAACTTCCTCGTTGAAAGTGTCTGTTTCAATCTAACCTAACTTAATCATTCGTACGTTTTAGTGAGGATAAAGAAATTCTTATACTACCACATCTTTTATAGTCTTTTCAACCTTGTCGTCAACCAAATTAATTTTATCACATTAAGTCGTTGAATAAAATACAATATGTACGATGCGATAAAATGGGATGTTATGTAGTGTTCTAGAATATTTCACTCCTATAGAGACGCGCAAGTACGTGTGTGATCGTTGTGTGTTTGTGTGCGTGTCTGTGTGTCTGTATGAGCGTGCTTGTTTGGATGTTCTATTCCTGACTTGTGTCGGTTGTAAAGTACCAGTCCCTCTGATAGACCATGTCGCAGAGCAAATGGATGCCCAACAATTACAGTTGACCAGTCCCTATTTTATCCGAAAATGAGAATCGCCAGGAGGTGTACAAACAAACAACTTTTTGACGTTTTTCCCCCCTCCCTATTCTCTAGTAAAGAATAGAAATGTACTCAAACATGCAACCATTCAAACCATAATAAAACAAATATGCAGGTGAATAGTGTGAGGCAATATGAAATATTTACCATACGTCACCCGAAGGAGCGTTACAACCATTAGTCGCCGAGGGAAGCTCCGAGCTGCTCCAACAACCCTTCCCCGCTACAAAGGCTGAAGCAGAGATAAAGATGGAGATGGTTTAACCATAATACCGTAGTTTGCGAGCTTCCATGATATTCACGTATTTCTTCAACATACCTGGTGTGGAAAATATGCTATATGACGGATGATGATGTTCCATCGTTACAGCATCTATGCAAACATCAGTACACACTCTCCCATTAAACCCACTTGAACACAATCTATGCAAACATCAGTACACAATCTCCTATTAAACCCACTTGAAGACAACCTATGCAAACACCAGTACACAATCTTCCATTAAACCCACTTGAAGACAATCTATGCAAACTTCAGTACACAATCTCCTATTAAACCCACTTGAAGACAATCTATGCAAACATCAGTACACAATCTCCTATTAAACCCACTTGAAGACAACCTATGCAAACACCAGTTCACAATCTTCCATTAAACCCACTTGAAGACAATCTATGCAAACTTCAGTACACAATCTCCCATTAAACTCACTTGAAGACAATCTATGCAAACATCAGTACACAATCTCCTATTAAACCCACTTGAAGACAACCTATGCAAACACCAGTACACAATCTTCCATTAAACCCACTTGAAGACAATCTATGCAAACTCAATCTATGCAAACATCAGTACACAATCTTCCATTAAACCCACTTGAAGACAATCTATGCAAACTTCAGTACACAATCTCCCATTAAACTCACTTGAAGACAATCTATGCAAACATCAGTACACAATCTCCCATTAAACCCACTTGAAGACAATCTTTGCAAACACCAGTACACAATCTCCCATTAAACCCACTAGAAGACAATCTATGCAAACTTCAGTACACAATCTCCCATTACACCCTCTTGAAGACAATCTATGCAAACATCAGTACACAATCTCCCGTTGCACCCACGTAAGGACTATCTAGGCAAACATCGGCGCACAATCTCCCATTGCACTATTTTGTTCCAAAGTTGAAAATATGTTAAATACATGAACCACACCGTACAAGAAATAGGACACAATTACATCCACATGAAGATAGGTACATATAACCAACTCGATACAATACTCCCCCCTCAAAATGGAGTATACATGACCACGATCCCCACTGACACGGACGCAAAGAGATTGATATACTCACAATACACAATACACAATGATTCAAGTGAAGAGAGCCAATAGGTTGCCATTACTAACACACGAAGAGAGGCTGTGTAAGCATCACGTACACACTGTTCGTGTTTATGGTATTAAACAACTGTTCTCCTTTGTTAAATATAGTTGGTACTATTGTACGTTTTGTGATCTTGATTCAAATAGCATGTGCTTAGAAAATGAGAACAGCCTACCTTGACTGTGTTGGCAAAGAAAATCCCATATCCTCTGAAAGATTTGCATGATCTTGTAGAAGACGTCGTCATCATTACACTGACTGATAGCGTTGACGCAGTTCCGGCTTTCCTCCAGGAGGTTTGACCTTACACAAACATTCACCACGAGTGATTCAGTGAGTCAGTGAGTCAGTGGGTATGTGGGTATGAGTGAGACACCATTATCTTATGCCATTAATCCTTATCGCGCAGTATCAGAAGGTAATAAATATACCTGAACAGAATCCCATGGGATATTGAAGGTGAAATATTTACTTGAACACTGCCCTATGTAACATTGAAGGTAACGTATTATCCTGTTTACTACCCCATATGATATTGAACGTATCTCATTTACCTGTACACTACCCCACATGATATTGAAGGTAACATATTTACCTGTACACTAGCCCATGTAATGTGAAGGTAACAAATTTACCTGTACACTACCTCATGAAACATTTAAGGTACCATATTTACCACCCCATGGAATATTGAAGGTAACATATTTACCTATGCACTACCCTATGGAATATAGAAGGTAACATATTTACCTGTACACTACACCATATAATATTTGATTAAAAAATGTTTACCTGTACATTACCCCATCGAATACTGAAGGTAACATATTTACCTGAACACTACCCTATGGAATATTGAAGGTAACATATTCTTCTTTACTACCCCATGAGATAATGAAGGTATCTCATTTACCTGTACACTGCCCTATGTGAAAATGAAGGCAGGGCATTCATCTGTACACTACCACTTGTAATATTAAAGAAACCCCATTTTTTACGCGTACAATACTCCAGGTAATGTAGAAGGTAAAACGTATGGTACAACCCTGCCCCTTGTAGATTTCCCCACTCAAGGGGTTACTCATTTAACATGTTTCTCTGTTTCCCTGTAATACCATAGAACATGACGTACTTTCCCGCTTTTAACTCGCGGTTAACAATGTATTTCTCTTACCGGGATAGGTTTTGCTCGTTAACTTGAAGTGTTTTCAACGGTATGGCCAATGGACCATTTCGCGTACAGTCAGATAGCCCTTACATTACTATCGGGTATGTTTCGTCGATGTACAGCAATTAGTAGGCGTGTGGATCAAATACCTGCTATTTTCATAACTTTAAAGTCACACAAGTAACAGCTTACTTACTCGCACTGTACAGCGAGTTTCCCATCAACAACGATGTCTTCTGGACCCTTCAAGGCGACGTTCTCGAGGAGCCTATTCCAGCAGGGATAATACACCATCCAGCAAGGTTCCTCATCTTGACTATATGTCAAGTTCACCATGTTTTCCTCAGGGTTCTGTCGTCGCTGTGCCTCATGGCCATCATTGGGAAATATAGCTAGAGACAGTGAAATGGTACTTCAGTATTTATACGGATTTAGGAAATTTTACTTCGCAGATTTACGTCCCTTACTCATGGAAGCATTCGGTGATTGTGGGTTCGAATTGCAGATTGACTCTGACTTGGACGTTGTGTTCTCGATAGTTCTACTACATTTTACACTTATACAGTTCCCATTACTTTGGCATAATGTTCACCAGGAGTAAGTACAATACTTTTCCAAAATGTGCCCGTCACGGAGAATATAACTGTCTGAAAGGAAGGGGATAGTTCTTGCATTATATGATGTCCCCCAAGTCGACCCACCATAAGAGCTATATATGAGTATCTAAAATCTATATAGAACAGTTTCTGGTCATTTAGTACAAATATTGACAAAAGAATGAATCCGTCATTGAAAATACGTCTGTCTGAAGGGAAGGGGATAGTTCTGCAACAAGCTGTTGGCGGCTCAGGTCGCCCTACAATAAGAACCATAAATAAGTAACTAAGATCTACAGACAGTAGTTTGTGGTCATGTAGTGCATAGATTGTAAAAAAGTATAAACTTACTGAAAATATTTTACAAAGCACTCACCAAATGAAAAACATATTGCTGGCAAATAGAGAAGGAAGACCACTCGAACAAACATCGTCAGCAACTTGTTCCCAGTGAATAACTGGTGAAGCTCGAACATGACACTTGCAGTGGGTACAACTGGCAGTAATTGTCACAGCCCACGAAGCATATTTGTGAGCTGAAGCTGGTCTATCAAGCGTAACAGCGTTGTAAGGTTATGGTCTGCAATTACGTTTTAGAAGGTCAACACTAACAGTTGTCAATTTTGTGACACAAACCAAGGGATGTAGACGAATCACAACTAACGGATCGTGGAAGCGAACCGCATTTATCAGTGGAGTTGGACCATGACGTTAAAGGTGGGTGACTAGGACAAATATGTGTAGTCGGTGTGTATGCAGGGTATGTGTACGTGTTGACAGGATATGTGTGCGTACGGGTAGACAGGAAATGTGTGCACGGGTAGACAGGGGATGTGTGTACGGGTAGACAGGAAATGTGTGTACGGGTAGACAGGAAATGTGTGTATGGGTAGACAGGGGAAATGTGTGTACGGGTAGACAGGGGATGTGTGTATGGGTAGACAGGACATGTGTGTATGGGAAGACAGGGGATGTGTGTACGGGTAGACAGGAAATATGTGTGCGGGTAGACAGGAAATGTGTTGTACGGGTAGATGGGAAATGTGTGTATGGGTAGACAGGAAATGTGTGTACGGGTAGACAGGGGAAATGCGTTTATGTGTAGACAGCTAATGTGTGCACGGGTAGACAGAGGAAATGTGTGTATGGGTAGACAGGGGAAATGTGTGTACGGGTAGACAGGAAATGTGTGTACGGGTAGACAGGAAATGTGTGTACGGGTAGACAGGAAATGTGTGTATGGGTAGACAGGAAATGTGTGTATGGGTAGACAGGGGAAATGTGTGTATGGATAGACAGGGGAAATGTGAGTACGGGTAGACAGGAAATGTGTGTACGGGTAGACAGGAAATGTGTGTATGGGTAGACAGGAAATGTGTGTAGACAGGGAAATATGTGTAGACAGGGGGTATGTGTTGTATGGGTAGACAGGAAATGTGTGTGTGGGTAGATAGGAAATGTGTGTGTATGGGTAGACAGGAAATGTGTGTACAGGGTAGACAGGAAATGTGTGTATGGGTAGACAGGAAATGTGTGTTCGGGTAGACAGGAAATGTGTGGACGGGTAGACAGGAAATGTGTGTACGGGTAGACAGGAAATGTGTGTATGGGTAGACAGGAAATGTGTGTGTGGGTAGATAGGGGAAATGTGTGTATGGATAGACAGGGGAAATGTGAGTACGGGTAGACAGGAAATGTGTGTATGGGTAGACAGGAAATGTGTGTTCGGGTAGACAGGGGATGTGTGTACGGGTAGACAGGAAATGTGTGTATGGGTAGACAGGAAATGTGTGTATGCGTAGAAAGGGGAAATGTGTGTACGGGTAGACAGGAAATGTGTGTCCGGGTAGACAGGAAATATGTGTTCGGGTAGATAGGGGATGTGTGTACGGGTAGACAGGGAATCTATGTACGGGTAGATAGGGGATATGTGTATGGGTAGACAGGGGAAATGTGTGTACGGGTAGACAGAGGAAATATGTGTATGGGTAGACAGGGGATATGTGCATACGGGTGGACAGCAAATGTGTATACAGGCAGACAGGGGATGTGTACTGTTACGGTTAAAAACTTGCCATGACAAAAGGTTTAAGAGTCCCCTTTGAACCAGCAAACTAGAACACAAACAAGTTTAAAATATTCAATAATATATTGAACAAACAATGAGAAAGCTACAATGAATCACAATACAGATTTTCTAGTACAATGCAATTGAGTCACAAATATAAAATATTTACTCACCGGAGTCTTGACATTTACAGTGAGAGCAGATATACGGAATGAAGCTTGTGTACAATGACATATGTTGAATATAGACGAGCACGGTGAGTCTTGAAATGTAGGTCAAACGATGACGATGGCAGACAGATGTACACAAATCCAGTCATGTAATAAAGTCCCACCGCACAACGCAACAACCAGCCTTTATATAGCTCTTAAACAGTTCTCAAAGCATTCTAGTAAAGATAGGCTGTATCATTATCCACTCAGAACTTTCACGAACTCTGTCGAACACACCACATGATGAAAGCCGTAAATAAGATTGCCAAGGGTGGCAACTCTGAAGCGCTATCAAAAAGGCGTACCGCTAAAAATACTACTTCCATTGAACATACATGATGCAAGATGTTAGCCGCTACCCACACTCAAAACTCTGTGACCCATAATAACTATCACTTAATCAATGATAATACAAATTACAAAAAACACACTCTCATAACAGTACGAAAGGGCGTTCAAAACGTAGCCAGCCTCACCTAGAAAATGATACAAATGCAGCTGTTTATATGCTATATATTTTATGTTTTATGCCTACATATTACCTGTCAACCTCAAGCAAATTAGTTTGCCTCCGGATCCCCATTTTGTTTGACTTTCTCTTTGGTACCCCCCAAAAAATAGCAAAATCTGCAATGAATGCATCGCAAACTTCAGGAAACAAAATACGCAACGAACGGTTTGTGTATTTGAGAACGGCAGAAGTCCGCTTGAATATAAAAGTGCATAAAAAAGCAACTTTGAAAGAACAATCGTTTGTTAAAGTGACTCCCCTTCATGTTTACTGAAAAAGCTTGTTTTTGGAGACACTACCCACCCTTTCAGATGACATAAATCATAAGGACATAACTTATTCTAATGTTTTCTCTCATTCATACATGATGCCAAGAGTTCAAACTAAATACACAAGTGTCAGCCTTCAATATATTGTAAACAATGGCAGCTTGAATATGGACACAATGTTTTTGAAAGGTTAAAATGAGTGTGTCCTTATAAAAACAGGTCCCGTCTAAATATAAATCAAGCAATCCAAATCTTTGAATGTTGACTATGGCGGGCAGTCATCCAATACTCTACTGATACATGTATTTTATATGATATTATCTGAGGGCATACCGTTATCCAAGGGGTACGAAATGACAGATCTTTTTTCATTTTGTGCAATATTAAGATCTGAAATATCATAACCCAATGTGTTGTGATGACTAATATCTCGTTAATCACACTACCCACATATGTTAAATTTGGATATGGCTTTGCTAATGATTCCTTCATAACAAAATGGAAGCATTTTGCACATTGGACATCGAGAGTATAGTTAGGCTGACTACTTGTTGAACGCCCCTCGTGAAAATATGCACTCATCAGCCTGTATTGTTTGCCACAAAGGCCGGATGCAGGCCATGTGTTTCATGAACGTATTGTGCAATCGTTATTTAAGTTATGTGACTATTATGTTTCGCCTGAGATGATTGCCTCTGTAGGTCAAACTGCAAATTCACAGTCTCTTCAAAGCACCCCTGCAGACCCCTGCAAGGTCATAATCCTTTGTGACTTCAACGCCAGAGTGGGCCAATATTTTTGCAAGCCTGGAAAGGAGTACTTGCACGGAGCACGGAGTTGGAAACTGCAATGACAAAAGGCGTTTGCTGTTAGATGTCCAGAGTGATGCCCAGCGCAGAATGTCACACTGACCATCGTCTCGTCCGCTGCCAACTCAGGCTTCACTTCAAACCCAAAGAGAGGCCTCCAAAGAAAAAGTTCAAGCTCAGCAACCGCCAGTCAACTGAAGTGAAAGCTCACTCCAGGCAGATCTAGCTTGAGATACAAGCTTGAAGATCCAAGTTGCCCCACAGATCCTGAAATACTGTGGGAACATCTGAAAACAGTCATCCCGCAGACATCTGAAGAAGTCCTCGGGTTCACCACAAAGAAGAACAAAGACTGGTTTGGAGAAAACAACCAAGAGATTCAAGAATTTCTGGCGAAGGAGAGATCCGCTCACCAGGTCTACCAAGCACAACCATCTCGTCCCGAGAAGAAAGCTGCCATCCGTCTTGTATGCAGTAGCTTCCAGTGAAAGCTTCGAGAGATCCAGAAAGAGTGGTGGACCAACCTCACAGACAGAACCCAACTCTGCCCAGACATTGGCGATTACAGGGGGTTCTACGAAGTTATAAAGGCAGTGTACGACCCTATCTACCTACCAGGTCCAAAGCCACTTGCGCAGTTCAGATGGTCAGACGCTCCTCGCAGTCAAGGTTTCTATCCTCAGCCGCTGGTCGGAACACTTCCAAGCTATCTTTAGTGCTAATCGAGTGGTTCAGGACTCAGCAATTCTCGACATTCCTCGACAACAATAAAAACTGTACTGGATTGGATACAGAGAAAACAGACCCCAGCGAAAACGGACCCCGGAAAAAATCGAGAAAACGGCCACTGCGCTTTAGAGAACGGCCACCGAACCGAGAAAACGGACTCTGTGCCTAGACTGAGTTTGGTTTTACGCCGCCTCTGTGCCTACAGAAAACGGCCAACATGATTGCACCAAGATCGAAGAAGATTATATAATTATATATATTCTAACTTATAATAATTAACTTAATGCGGATAAACTTTTAAAAATTGATTGATGATTTTTGTTTCGATATCCATAGCGTTAAACAACCTTCGAAGATTGATTGGCTGTTTCGATAGGATGAGCAAATCATTTGATTGATTGTAGATTTTACAGGTAAGATTAGTTGATGATAGAGAGAAAAACGACTCAGGTCAATAAAAACCGATATCGACCTCTACAAGAGTCTATAATTGTTTTATTATATAATGAAAGAGAAACGGGTTTTAACATAAACTTTTAATGCACACACTGTGCCATCTATCCGAGTGATCTGATTGGCTGAAAAGCGGGGGAAGCCCCTTCGTACGGGATTCCTTGTCTATTTTTAGTAACCCAAGTCAATATCGTAATTTATCAGAAAACTCAAGTCAATATCGTGTTTTGTAGTCAATCATGTGACGGTCTTTTGACCAATCGTGGTACAGGAAAAATACTACCTATATAATAATAAGGCAGTGTTTATATTGACGAACGGATTAATAGAATATTTAATTACATCAAATGTAAATAAAACAGTCTGTTTTAACTAATTCCAACTTTTGTTCTTGTAGTTCTTCCATAGTCCCTAGAGTATGGTGATCTACCTATAAATCTTGGTCTTGATAAGCCAGCCGGCGCCCGCTTATATCTCTTTAAGAAAAACATGAAATACTATTATTTGATGGACAGAGTTCTTATTTATTCTGTTTATTTCTTTAGTACACATATAACCATATTTATTATCAATAACAACAAACTATGTAAGAAACATTATAGTATTATAATATATATATTTTTTCAGAGACAAACAAATGAAGAGTGGTTTGACGAGCATTCTGCGACAAACAGTATAATACATAAATGCAACTTGTAGATGTACAACCTAAAACTTTGCCATGACACACAAAGCAGAGGTTATTCGATATATGAATACATCTATCCAAATTAATATTAATAGTGTTGTCGTTTCTTTTATCTTAACTAAACGATTCCTTTTGGCTATGAAATTACCTATGATTGTTTATTAAATCAGGTCAATGTGTTGGGCACAAATACGCCTCTTATTGGCCCTAGTCGCCCTAAAGTATAAAACCAACCAACCAACCAAGGAATTTAGATATAGGGACATTCGTGTGCGGATACGTTTGAGAAGATGTGACTGACCGGATAAGCGAGGTTTGACTAATTGTACACGTTTGATATCGACAAACTCGTCTGGTTCAATTAGAAATAATATTCACTCACTCATACATGCGAATTGCCTCCCTGCGTTTCCCAAAATCTAGGATCATAGTTCGAACCCAAGGTTATGTTTCTTGGTTTGCCTGAGAGAAAACAAAAACCAAAGATTCACGGAAGTGATAAATGTCCAAGATCTGCATTAGTTTGGGCTTTCATCATCACGTTGTCTCGACGTGATAGTACTTAACCAAACTCGCTTCTCTCTTCATTAACTCACATGACTAGCCAAGTCAGGTACTGTCATGGACCAGTGACACGTTGACACTAACACGTTGCGGCTTAGAGGGCAGAAGATGCATGAGTTGTGACATACAAACTAGATTTGACATACACAAGGATGTGATAGTACCTTTATTAAATAGATTTAGTCAATTTCAACAGGAACAAGCAGCGTGAAAGAGCAAGGCGTATTGACAGAAACGGAATTAGAAGCTGCAGTTATGTGTAGTGTAATATATTTCTGTTAACATTTCTATAGGCGAGCCATGTCTTTTATGGTAAAAAATACTCGTTACATCATTACTTGTTCGGTTTTCTTCAAACGAAACCCCAAAATTCATAACATAATATCGATAAGGAAAGTCAGATTGTGTGCCAAGTGCGCGTATTCCACGTAGTTTCAACGGAGTTGATTTCCTTCCTGGTCGTTCCAAACGTGGAGATTCCATGGCCACCCGCTTGCACAGAAAGAGGCGAGAACTGAATCTAGCAGGATGCGTGGTCTCCCGGTAAACTAATACCTGCCAGGAGTCCCAAGAGGATGGCGTCTTCTGTGGAGCAATCAGGCATCTTCGCCACAGCTTTTTGGAGGCAGGTAGGTACACTGATAAACATATAGGTTAGTTAGCAAAATTCTATTTCCTGTGTGATAATCTGGTATCTCATTTAAGGGTAAGTGACAGGTAAACGTGAAGAGAGTGAGAGAGAGAGAGAGAGAGAGAGAGAGATCTTAGAGAGAGATGTAGAGAGAGAGAGAGAGAGAGAGAGAGAGAGAGAGATAGATGAATGAATACAATCACTACAGTGAGCAGTTACAGTGAGAGACTGACCATATTATTGCAGATTTATGACGAAATTAAGTAATCACTTTATATACTCAGGACAGAAACTTAATTGAAAAGTGACAATTATTTGCAATGCCACATGTAGCTGAGTAATTATTGTCACGTTGTTGTGGCAACGTGTACGTCATTTCAAAATATGTCCTCCTTAAAAATGTTTGAAAGTCAAAATGTTTTGGTAAGTGGTGTAAACTTCACATTTAAACATAATGACTGGAAAACAAAACGTATTCTATAACAATTGATTTCCGCAACGAAATAGTCTGTTTCCTTCAGAGTTTCCATGATTTTCATGTTATCACACTATTTGCTTTCTAAGTCATCATAAAACTGCTCGCCGAAACACTATAACCGCTGATTAAGAATGCGAATCGACTAAATTCATAATAACCAACTTCAGGCTGGCATAGAATCAGGAGTGTTTTCCGGCATGCCATTCAATCCAAATTAATGCCGAGATCATCCTATGCCTGATTCTCGTACAGTCCGTCAACATTAATTTTCGCACCCAGGGTTTTGGGGATTTAATTCGACTGAGTATGTCTGTATCAGTTCTGATCAACTGCCATGAATGTACATGATAATGAATCAGGAAAATCACCGGGATTGCAAATTCAAGCACTGACTGATTATTTTCTGGTTTGGTAAAAGGATTCAAATAGTATATATCTGATAAGTATGAAATACATACTTAGGCGATTTCAAATTGCCAAAAGCGTGCGTTCCAAAAGTCAGGCTGACGGTAACTAAATAATTAAATATCTCATGCTAATTATTTCTAATTCTAATTCATGTCTTCTAGCCCCACTGCCATTCTAACTGTGCAGTTCTATTGTGTTTCACCATCCTAAGCCTCCAAACAATCCCGCGTTTTGCGTACAGCCAAAATGTATTATGTGCGTATGGACAAGCTGTTTTGTGATGAGGACGTAATGGGCTTCATTGATGATACCAATTTACCATTCTACCCCACCGCCCCTGTTTTGTGATGAGGACGTAATGGCATGATGATACCAATACCATTCTGTATGTCAATGCATACTGGTAGATAGTATGGAATAATATAAATTATTTACCACACATTATTCGAACGGCCAAGGCACTTAAGGAACGTTGGATGAAACTCCGAGCTAATCCAGCAATCCTTCCCCGCGACAAATGCTGAAAGTGACGAAGATGAAATGATTGGACAATTTATCGACGGACTGTTTGCGAGTGTCTATCATATCCACACATACCTTCGATATAATCAGTATAATATATCTGACAATAACCAGTGAGAATATCTGTTGAGAATATCTGTTGAGAATATCATCTGCTGGGATCCCCACATCACCAAAATGAAAGTAAACAGACCTATGATTAAGCAAATAAATTCATAAATTATACTGATAATTAAAAGGGGTTGACAATGTTATTTTTCTAAACCAGTCAATCTCCTTATAGTGCATATAACCAGTGTCGTGTGGTTTTGCTTTACTTGAAAGAAGGGAGAGTTTATATAACCATTGCGAGCACAATTTCACATGACATGCAAGGTAAGCGATTTACAAAACCCTCTATACTCAATATCCCTTGACACCAAGGGAATCTATAGACCTATTGGCACATAATCACAGTATTAGACAAGAGTTCTCTTTCGTTAAAGAGAGATTAGTACATCATAAGTTTTATTATGTTTATCAAACTTCATGCGTCATACCTTGGCTGTTCTGGCAAATGAAATCCCACGACATCTGAGAGCTTCGTATGGCCTTATATAAGCCGTTGTCCCTACAGTGACTGAGAGAGTCAATGCAGTTCCAGCTTTCCTCCCGGATGTTTGACCTTACACAAACAATCACCAATACAGAGTGAGTGAGGGAAGGAAGGAGGTAGGTGAGGAGGGAGTGAGTGATATTTCCCATTGTCAAATGCAGAAGACAACACATTTACCAATACACGGCACCATTTAATATTGGAGTTACTTGTAACGCATTGACTCACGCATGAGTGAGTAAGTGAGTGAGTTTACTGTTACGCCGCACTCAGCAATATTCCAGCTTTATTGCGGCGGTCTGTAAATAATCAAGTCTGGACCAGACAATCCAGTGATCAACAGCATGAGCATCAATCTGCGCAACTGGGAATCGATGACCAAGTCAGCGAGCCTGACCACCCGATCCCGTTAGTCGCCTCTTACGACAAGCATGGGTTACTGAAGATCAATTCTAACCCGGACATTCACGGGTCCACTAACTCATGTTACAGGAAAGATGATAAGTCACATTTACCTTTGCACCATTCGTTGTAAAGAAGCATTGTAAGATTACGCATTGGCCCATATAAATTGGAAGCTAACGAATTTGAAAAACGATTGAAAAGACTTGCAGTGAATTTAATTCACATGACATCGACGTGAATAGTCTGGAGGTAGACATAATGCCTAATTATGACAGTAAAACGTCTGTTGGATTTTATGATATCATTTCTAAGCTTTAATGAGATATCCACCATTTCGGAAAGCAATCATTACTTTTTTATCCAAATTTACTTCCATCCACATTTATGACAAAATGCTCCTAATATGTACAACTGTCAAGTTTAGAAGAGTTGACTGAAGTAAGTGGCTACATTTACACTAGTGAGTCTAAACTTTTGATGGGTAGTGTATATGTGGAGCTGTCCGTATCACCAGTCATGATAAATTATATAACGAAACAAATCTTACCTCTTTGAATAAAAGGACATATTCTCAAAAGTTATTTATGTTCTATAAAATGGAAAACAATGTAGTGCCTCCTTATTTATCATCTCTCTTACAACATAAAGTATCTGATTCAACCACTTATACTTTAAGAAACCATGTAAACTTGCAAAGAATTAATTTTAGAACTAGTAACTATGCCACGTCATTCCTTCCTGACACATATCAGTATGTGGAATACTTTACCCTCAGACAGTACAAGCGTTCCATCCCTTGGCGAATTAAAAAAGAGAGCAATGTTACTCAAACAAATTACTTCGATCTTAACTACGGTTCACGATTCTGTCAAATCAGTCACTCCCGCCTCCGACTTGGTTGCAGCGATCTCAACGCCGACATATTTAATATATGTATAGCTGAGAGACCAATGTGTAACTGTGGCTACCATGCTGAAGACAATCTGAATTATTTCTTTGTCTACCCCGACAAGATTTGTATTACTTTGAAAAAGGGTTTGATTTAAAATCTTTTCTTTATGGTCATTCCAGCTCAAACTTAAAAACGAATATGGAAATGTTGAAATCAGTGGGCAGTTTCATACTTTTATCAGGTAGATTTCCTGCTTTTGTAAAATAATAAGAAACACATAACTCCATAATTTCGCAAAGATATGAAACATAATTACATGATTTTGCCATATACCTTTTAATATACTACCATAATTTGATTGACATGTGACTATAATTGCTATATTGATTACACTTGCCAACAACACTCACATGATTATTTTATGATGTCACCACAATTATATTTTCTTCTCTCTGTGTTGTACAGGAGAGGTGTTTGCATAAGCCCTGGGCTTGTAGACCGGTCCTCATTACTTGTTTTTCGAAATAAAATATGTTTAAACTACTTCAATAACATCGTTTACAAACATGCTACGGGTGTTACTGTTTCTAGTTTAGTTACAAGTTCATTGATGAATAGGATAAATAAGAAGGGGGTCAACATACATCTTTGTCTAACACCACTAGATATCGTTTTGACACAAGCGCAATGGTAGTCATACACAATGATAAGTCACACAACTGAGAGCTTACTTACTCGCACGGTACAGCGAGCCTCCCATCAACAACAAGGCCTTCCAAACCCCCTGTGGCATGGAGAGGACTGAGGTTTTCCAGACAGGGATCGAGCTGCGCATAGCAAACATTTTCAACACCTACTGCAACGCTTGTCACGTTTACTATGTTCTCCTCACTATTTTGCCGGCGCTGTGCCTCATGTCCATCATTGGGAAACAGAGCTAGAGATAGAAATATAGCATTTTATTTAAAACCTGTTTTTAATAACGAGGTTTTAGGTCATTACGCTTCGCATCCTCACTTTGATATTATGTTCGCCTGTTGTAATAGATACTTTGTGAGGAGGTCATTCATATTACTATAACCGTCTTAAAGGAGTATCTCAAGTCTATTGATTTCAGATTGTGGTCAGTCAGTAAATACATTGAGAAAACAATGAACTCGAGAATGTGAAACTTCTTAACAAAGTACTCACCAAATGAAAAACATATTGCTGGCAGATACAGAAGGAAGACAACTCGTCCAAACATCGTCAGCGACATGTTCCCAGGAAATAGCTGGTGTGAGTTAAACATGAAACATATATAGCGGGTACTACTGGAAGTAATTGCTGTGATCAACGAAGTATAATAGTGAGTGACCTGGACAAATTCACCGCTTTGTTAGGTCGTTATCCTCAATTACATGTTTGAAGGTCAACACCTCCAAACCAGTAGTGGGCATTTCCACCATTACCACTTTAAAACATCTGCAGGCACGGGTATGGGTGTTATGCTGCTAAAGGGGCTAAAGGACTAGTGTGTGAAGTGATCAAAGGTTGGTGGTACGCTAATCTTGCGACACAGAACAAGGGGTGGGGTTTAGGCGAACTGACGGATCGTGGCAGCGAATCGCATGAATCAGTGAGTGGGTTGGGATCGAATTTTGCAGATGGGAGAAGTAGGTGGACGAGTAGATAGGAGCATTGTGTATACATGTAGCTGTAGACAGGAAACGTATGTGTGAAAATGTAGACATTGGAAGTGTGTGTAGTGTGTAGACAGGAGATGTGCCGTATATACGTATAGGCAGCAGCAGTGTGTATACATATTGGTGTAGACAGGAGCAGTATGTGTGTATGTGTAGACAAGAGAAGTGTGTACAAGGTGTAGACAGGAGGTGTGTGTGTGTGTGTGTGTGTGTGTGTGTGGACAGGGGAAGTGTGGGTATGTGAAGACCGTGAATGTAGGCTATGTGTCTCATGAACGTTTCCTGTCATGTCCCCCTGAATTAAGTGACTGTTTCTGAAGATTGCATCGGTTGACAATTTAATTTTTTCGTCTTATTTTGGTATAAAATGTAGTTTGACGTAAGGTCACAGGAATCGCCTCCCTTGATCTGTATTGGCGATAGACAGGAGTAATTCCCCCTTCCTTGCACCGCACGTGTCGTTGTAGTTGGCGGCAGCCGTTTGCCCGCTTGGCAGAGTAGCAGGTTTGAATTTGAATTAAGTTATTTTTCATGACGGAAAGTGTCCCTGATGTACGTCCGAAGAGGAATTCAGCGGGCAACAGGATGACAGATATTTTGGCGGCAGTAAAACAGTCCCCGGGGCCCGAATTGATAAAATCAGATGAGACACCGTCACATGGTGCTGTTGGTGGGTCGATTTTGAGTGAGGCTAATGAACTGAAAAAGGAATGTGACACTTTGGAGGCAGAACTACGCAAACTTAGACAAGAGAAAAAGAAGATGGATATCAAACGGGAAATTGAGGTTTTGAGGGGACAATTGCACAACGAAAGTGTAGTACCTTCACCTAGAGGTCAGTACCAAGGTCGAATCGACGGTAACCAAAATGACGGCTATCACAACAAAGGTAAAGATTTGGATTTCATGGATTATTTGTGGGTGGACTCACTTGATTCACAGAAACATACCATAAAGATTAGTGAGGGGTGTCAATCGATCTTGGTAAGAAAAAGACTAAACTTGCTTGCGTTTCTTTGGATATGTTGGGTTTTGCCAATGTCGGAATGCTGCGTGAAATGATGAAGGCAGGGGAAGTGGTTCATGCTGACATCGATGATTCCTTGAAGTATGTGCAGGACATATGTCGTTTCTCATCCAAGTACATGTGGACAAGTGTCCTATTGTCCGATCAAGAATATCGTGATAAGCGGAAGCAGGAGGGATTTAAGTGGGGAACGCCCTCACAAGAGACACGGGATTACCAACTCATACCCAGACCTAACTCCCAAACAGCTAAGGTAATGAGACAGATGGAGGCCGCTGTTTCCTCGACTAGCAAGGCACCTTTTCAAGGCAGACAACGTGGACCCTTTACGCCTGACGGCCAGGAAATATGCAGGCGCTACAACGGTGGATTTTGTCGGGAAGCTACGTGTAGGATGGCACATGTCTGTTCCCTGTGTTCCAAGAGAGGACATACGTACAGACAACACTCAGATAATGTACAGGCTGTTGCAGACCCTCCTAGGCCTATTACCAGCAACCAGTCGGGGGACGAGTAAAAAAACCTGCAGAGTCCGACATTTTCAAGGATTCACTGAAGTATGAGGCCTGGGAACAACTTCTGCCAGAGCAGGACCAAGATAGAGATTTTATTCTAGAGGGTGTTCGAGATTGATTCCGTCTTAATTGACACAGAGGATGTTGTGCATTTGGTACAGCGTTGCTAAAAAATCATAGATCTGCATTTGAAAACAGAATGTTAACTGAAGATCAAATTTGTGAAGAAATTAATCTTGGACATTGCAAGGTTGTGTCAGAGAAGCCAGCTATTGTCAGTCCAATTGGTGCCATTATGAAATCATCTACGAAATATTCGTTTAATTCATGATGGGAGTTTTCCAGAAGGAGGAGGCATGAACAGTTATATGTTTAATTGTGAGTGCTCATATATGGACCTAAGGCATGCTTTGCAGTTTATAAAGAGAGGGTCCTATCTGGCAAAGGTTGATCTTTTAATTGCATACCGCTCAGTACGCATCCATCCTAGCAACTATACATTTACTGGTTTAAGCTGGAAGTTTGGTGTATCAGAGGAGACTGTGTATATGTGTGATACAAGATTGCCATTCGGTGCTTCTAAAAGTCCAAAAATATTTCAAACACAGAGCAGCGCAGTGTGTCGGATTATGGAGAAGCGCTACAGTATAAAAGTTGTGGCATATTTAGATGATTTTTAGTCATAGCTGAGAGTGAGAAGGAGTGTGCTGAAGCTTTAAGCAATTCTGTTACAGGTGCTGAGACGATTATGATTTAACATTAACTGGAATAAAGTTGATGGACCCAATCAAGTTATCACATTTCTGGGTGTGTTGGTAGACACTACATCTTGTGTGCTAGCATTGTCAGCTGATAGACTTCAAGACATTAAGAAGCTGTTGTGTGGGTTTTTACAAAAGAAAAGAGCTGATAAAAAACAATTAGAATCATTGGTTGGAAAATTGAGCTGGGCCAGCATGGTGGTTCAGGGTGGTAGGACGCTCATGAGGCGTGGTATAGACGTGAAAAACAAGCTGAAGTCTAACAAAGATAAAGCCATACTGGATCCTTCGTTTAAAGAGGACTTGACTTGGTGGTGTTTTTAACGTTTTATTGCAGAAAACCTTGCACAGTGCTTGGGAACATGATAATAAAACATATTGTTTGGGTGTGCCTGATTTTTTGGGCCCATTTTCACAAAAATCCAAGATGGCGTCAAAGATGGCCACCTAAAAACAAGGATTTCCAATTCTAACACTACGTGACTTTTCCCCGCTGGATTAAAACAGAAAACCTGGCACAGTGCTAGGGAACATCATAATAAAACATACTTTTGGGGTGTGCCCGAATTATTTGGCCTATTTTCCCAAAAATCCAAGATGGCCGCCAAAAATCAAAGAATGCTGACTTCACCCTGAATGGTCGCCGACTATAAAAAATCTTCATTTGTTGCAATATGTGAGATATATTCGCCGTTCAAAGGGCTATTTCTAATATTTTCAAGAAATATAACAAACATGATTTATGTTTAGTAGTAAAAGATATAATTCATCTTACAATTAATGAAAAGGTTACTGTTTTGATCAGTCACGTGGCATCATTTTGTCAAACATCGATCTCTGTGATTCTGAAGTCTCGTTTAACAGTTCCCATTGTAGTTGCAGAGCGATGTGCATAGAAGTTGAGAAGATTTACAAATACAGTTTTTTTAACATAGAGGTTGAGACTTGCAGCCACATTTGATAAATTTTCAACAACTTCGTGAAGCTTCTGGCAGTGCCATCCACACCGGTAGCCATGCGTTGTTGTCCCTTGTCAAACCAAACAAATCTGGCTCTGGCGCTTTCTGTCTGGAAAGTAAACAAGTACGCCATATGCTGACCTGGTACAAGCTCCTGTTTGTGTGCTGTAGCAGAGCAGGTTCTGGGAGGAAGGTTCTGCATCAACTTGATCTTGCGACCGTTGCAGATCTTGTCGCAGTTCGTTGACTGTGTTCACTGATGTAGTGCTGTCAGACATGATGCATGTGAATCGCTCAACTTATGAAAACACTTCTGAGTCTTTGTCCACAGTTAATGGATGCTGTGCATGAAAAGAAATTCTCTCAGTCACATCCTCATAGGATATCCAAGTCTTCACTGAACTGTGATGTTGTGTCAGAACCAGTGAATGCGTGGAAAGAGGGAAGCACCGCTCATCTTCGACAGCCAAGATCTTGGAATATTCTGTTGATGTGATAACATCTGACGTTTTTTCCCGTTTCCTAATGAAACGCTTGGAATGCACAATATGTAGAATTACATACGTCATTCATTCAGTCGTTAACCATAAGACTTAAACACATATACCTTCAAACTTGGTGTGAGAAAATATCTTTGCCAAGTAAATGTTTTTACTATTCAAAATTTAAAAAAGATCTATTCAATGAAGTATACTTATCATGTGTTAATATACATAAATTTAGGCGATCACTTGCAAGATTCCGATGTCAGTCTCACGATTTGTTGATTGAAAGCGGCAGATATAAAAATGTTAAAAAAGAAGATGGAATATGTACACTTTGTAATTCAAATGAGATTGAAGATGAATATCACTTTCTCCTCATCTGTCCATCATATAATTCAATACGTTGTAAATACATTAAAAGATATTACTATATCCATCCAAGCATCATAAAATTCTCTACTCTTATAAGCAGTAAAAATCAAAATATATTACAAAATCTTGCCATGCTCATTCACATTGCAATGTTGTATAGAACAAAAGCTTTATCACTGTAATGTAAATATATTTATATATGTAATTTCCCATTATATATGTATATGTGCTATAGGCCTGTGGCCTCTTCAGTACGAAATAAAGATTGAAACCACAGCTGAACAGCAGACTTTAGTTCAACAACATTTGTGTCGACAGTGCTAAACCATGATGTTTGTAGCACCTTTTTGCAAGGCATCTTTGACATGAAGGCAGATGCTGATATCCGCCTCTTCCTGATCAGTGCACTGCATATCTTCTTCACTCCTAATGTCACCACTGATTCCACAGCTGTTTTGCACACCACCTTTCCTGGCGGGTAAGAGCTGCCA